TCCCTTTGCGTGCTCTTCGAGTTATAATATCTTTAAGTTTTTGTTTACGCGCTGGAAACGATCGATCCTTCCCTAATTGTTTTATAATTGAAAATCTATTTCGAAGTGATTTAACATAAAGAAAAAACATGGTCGAAATTCGACACTATTATCCAAGTGATATTTTTGTGAACAATAGTTCTCCTGTGTGCATGACGGGACCGGCAAACATTGATTTGGCAGAATCGTTCGTTCATTCTAGATTTGACGAGAGATACGAGTATAATCCTCGACTGGGCGACTACGAATTTATTGTTAAGTATAAATATGGACCGGAACAAAATGCCGGAGCCGTTGCGCCATATCACAGAAATGGTATTAATAAATACATCATTTCCGACTATTTAAAAAACAAAGAATATAATGCCGTATCGGTACGCATCGGTCGTACTACGTACGGGCACACAGAGATAAAATTAATGATGGATTTATTAGATGATTTAATATCTACCAATCCAAACGATCAATTCAGGGTGCCAAGACCCAGATCAATTCAATTGAGGGATGGAGAACAGGCAGCACTAATATACTTAACCAGAAATGCTGGTATTTATAGAAAATATATGGAAGAAAAACGTATTATAATCAAAATGTGGTCAGAGCGGCCGCCTTGTGTCAGTTGTGAAGAATTCCTCCGAAATATCTGCCCAGAATGGAGTCAAGTGGGATATACAATAATGGGATGGGAACCATACGATAACTATAACGGAGCACCGAAAGTACGGAAGGCCGGTGATGAATTGTGGAATGCTTACTATGCTTACAAGTTCGGTCTATATAATTGATATTGATATACATTGCGAATGATGATTTATTATGTAAAAGTGCGTTTTTTCAAATACTACTATAAAACTAAAAAAATATTTTTGCAGACTCAATGTATAATTTGTAAAAGTGCAATATTTTTACTTTTGTAATTGATTATAATTCGAATAATTTTGTATAGATACATAAGATTTGGTTCATCGAAAAATGATGACTTAGGCAATAAAGTCAATTTTTTTAATGAAATTTTACACAGGATTCGCCAATAGCCGATTCATTTTTATTTTAATAGTTTGAAATTTAATGAAAATTTCTCAGTGCAATATTTGAATTTTATTTTTAATTAATTTAGATTTTTAGAATACGAATAATCTTTTTTTTGTAAGTGCGTCAGGGCACAGACAGCAATTTCTCTCTTTCAAAATTTACGATGTACCTTTATTAGTTTAGTGCATTTAGCTGAAAAATGTCCGTTTCTATCAAAAATTCAGCCGGGTAACAGCAGCCCCAGCCACACACCAACTCGATAGACCATCATCATCAAGATCTTCGGCCAACATAGTTTGTAAGCTTTGTTCAAATAGTATTAAGTTTTTATGTTTATAATAAAGTCTTGTGTGTGAACCTCACTCGGGCATTATACACTTAATTTCATGTTCCTCCCCTCAGACAGCAACAGTAACAATTAATTCAAAATAATAAAGTTATTACCCATACTAAAGGTTATAACAGTTTCATTAATATACTCTAGAAAATAGTTGACACCTTAAAATTCCGACTTGAATTTGACTTGTCGAGCTGCTACGCAGCATTAAAGATTGGAAATGCTGATTAATTAACCAAGTAAATCTTAAGGGAACAAAATGAGGTTTCAAGCTTATATTTAAAAATTGCCCTATAAATCGAAATAATTGGAATAATTTTTTTTTATAATAAAATATGTTTATACTAAATTAGATTGACAAAAAAACTTTGAAATCTTAATAACATTACTTCTTTCGATATACAAAAAGAATTATTTGATAGATTTTTGAAGTCAATTATTATAAATTAAATACAGTAGTTTCAATAGTCGGTCTATATAATTGATATTGATATACATTGTCATCTTATTCGAACAAGCTACTTCAATAGCACCATATGACAGATAACAATATACTAATATACGGTAAGGATAAAAAACTATGATCAAAGTTTTTAATCTATTAAATTTTTTCAATCACTTTGTTGGCTAGGCATTAGCACGGACGATGACTGCATTATCGAACATCGTAAAGCGCTGATTTTTCCATTCATAAGTGAGAACATATAATGTAGAAAAAACTATTACACTGTGGGTTTTTACGCGATTCGAATGCCCCCTTCGTTGGTCAATATAATATTATTCACCTAAACAATTTATTGGCTCGTATTGGTTAAATTTACGTGCAGCTAACTTTTCAAGTAAGTTACTTTTTTGCGAGTGTCAAGAAAAAAAAGTACATTTCGCAATAATTCAAGATTTCAAGGAGAAATATCGTCTTGGTTGTTGATACGCCGATTTAGCAGAAAACGGACATTGTATCTTCCCTTTCACTTATTAATTGCTTCGTTTTAGAAGCATTTTTATAATAAATTTACAATTAAATTATCGTTGAATTTTTTTGCGTTGTTACGTCTACAAAATTCAGGTAAAAAAGAAATAAGAGCTTAGTGTCGTTTTAGCTGGCAGCGAACTAAGAGTAGCATATATAATGTCAACAGCGATGTCGACATTCGCGACGTTTTGTGCAGTCGTCGCGATTCTAAACGGCATAATCTTACTGGGCTCAGTTTCACCCGCGAGTGCCTATCAGAGTTCATCGCTTGAACGCGACATCGGTAAAAATTTCTTGGTGTTTAGTGAGAGCGCCTTAGAAAATAATACCCTCTATTACGGCGTGTGCGACAGGACCGCTAATCAGACGCAGAAGGAATGTACTCTGCATCAAGTGCTGGCAGATATCTCGGGAGGCAGCCCGAAGGAGGACGAGTGCAAGGTCACTCTGCGCTCCGAATCCGGCGGCTTCGTCGCGACACATCCCACTAAAATCGACCCTCTAGGTAAGAATCGAGTGATAGTGCGCTGGTTTGAGGACATCGGGGGCTCATGGTACGATAAATATGGTTTGCGATTCAGCATTGTGGACTTTTCTAATTGTAAAGTCAAAACGACCAAATTATCGAAAGATCTCACTCAGCTGATAAACAATAAATTTTATGACCTCGACGAATACAAATACTCGTACAACTTTGGGGACGATGCTTTCAACGAGCCGATCTATCTTAAAGGAGAAGATAATTTCAAAGTTTTGTCAGTTGACTTGTCGATGTTTGAAGTGGCGAGCGTCAGTGGAGCATCGATCGATGTTGATGGAGTTGCTTCTAAGGTTGACAAATGGCTCACTTACAGCACTCGCTTGCAGAACTTCCTCCTTTCTCCAGTTATCGTTCCGTTATCAGAGGACAAAGGCTATTTATTATTTGAATTAATAACGTACAAAAATGGTTCAAAGGCCACTACAACAGTAGCTCTTATTCGATCCGATGGTAATTGACGAAAAAAATGTTTTAATTCGTGTGGCTTAAATTAAATCAATATTAATGAAACATTTTTCATGTTTCCAGGTCAAAGACAAAATTTAACTTATATTGACGATGCGACCGGCGACCCTTTAGTCTCCTTGGCCAACGGATTGATCGGCATATGCATTCCAGAATTTATGAAAAATTCAGCATGGAAATGCACACAATTCGAGCTAGGTGACAAAGAGATCAACTGGTTTTCGGCTAGTATCCACTGGGAGTTCCATCAGCGTAAACGAGTAATCTACAATTTACCGAGGGGCGAAGGATTTCTTACTTATCAAACTATTAACTATGCAACAAACCTCTATAAAAGCGACAAGTACCTTTTAAAAATCGGCCTGGATGGAAAAGCTAAGCAATTCGTGGATCCCGATATTACGTGCCCCGGAGAGTTCCTAGAGGAAGGGATTACTAAAATTTTCGAAGATGATCGAGGCAATTATTGCCTGAGCACCGCATGTGTGAGAATATCTTACCTTAATTACAAATCCGAGTCAAGCTTCGTCAAACTGAACTTGAAGTGCTTCCAACCAAAAGATTTTAAAAATGTTTCAAAATACCAGACAGAAGGCGATTTCCCATTCCCAATTCTAAAAATTGAATGATTAATATGAATCGTTGTTGTATAAAAACATTTGCATGTGAATAACTTACTGTTAACTAAACTATTGTTTAATTTATAAGAAAATGTGTAATTCATACAATTTTTTAATATTATTAAGTATCTTTAATTTTTTCCACAGTTTACTTGGTCATCTCACAAAATAAATACGAAAAAGTGCACAGGCAAATAAAATGATGTGTATAACCCGTCCAAGACCAAGAGACCCTAATTTTGACTTATTTTTCCACGCGTTAATTTTTTATGAAACCGTTGTCAAATTAATGTAAAAATACCTTATGCTATGGGGTTTTTATCGCTTTTTTCAAATCTGGCGTCAGATTTACGATATATGCAACCGTTTTAAAAATACATTTCATTAAACAGAAAAAAACGTGGTTTTTGAACATTTTTCCTCAAAATAATAATTTTTTCACCAGGATTACGCATTCGGATCGGCTTGAAACTATAGTTCTGGTGGCATACAGGCCTATAATAAAAGTAAGCAGCGTTGGTTTATCCAGATTCAAGATGGCTGCCAAACAGCTGATTGTACCCGGAAATGTAAAAAAAGCTTTGGTTTTTTTTTTACTCGGTAAGAATGGACTCTACAAGAAAATGTTACAGAACAAAAAGTGCGTAGAATTTATCAAAAAACACGCGTGTTTTTTAATCTTTTTCTTCTCCGTTTCTTGATTCAAAAAATTTTTTTCAGAATTTTTCGGATGATTTTGGAAATTTTCATAATATGGCCATATTCAAAAATATACCCAAAAATTCATGCACCAAATTGCCCCTTTGCTCATGAATGGTTTAAAGATAAGCTCAAGTAACGTCTTGACCCCATTCCTACAATATATAATAGTATAGCTCACACGTTATTTTTAGCCAACAGGCTGATCACGATGTGCGGCATCGGTATCTTATCTCTCTCACGCCTGTCGCGTTGCGGATGCATATGAGGCAGTCGACCACGTAGATCAATACCTGCAATATGTTACGCGTAATTTATAGAATAATACTTGGCTTCGAAGTGATTTAATATAAAGATAGAATATGGCGGAAATTCGGTATTATAATCCTAGTAATATTTTTGTAAACAATAATCGTCCTGAGCGCATGGCAGGAGCGGCGAACTTTGCCTTGGCAAGATCGTTTGTCCTCAGTCGGGATATACACGATAATAGAGCCTATGTAACAAATGCCGGAGCTGTTGCGCTTTATCATCGAAATGGTATAATAAAATATATGGACAAAGAATATGATGCCATATCAGACCGTATCGAGGGTACTACGTATGGTCATACAGAGAGAAAATTAATAATGGATTTGTTAGATGATTTGATATCTACCAATCCAAACGATAAATTCAGGGTACCAAGACTCAAATCAATTCAATGGAGGGATGGGCAACAGGCGGCACTTGAATATTTAACTGACAATGCCGCTATGTATAAACGATACTTGGAGGAAAAAGGAATTATAGTTAAGATGTGGTCCGAGCGGAAGCCTTGTAATTACACATATGAAGGAGGCCCTTGTGAAGACTTTCTCAGAAATATTTGCCCAGAAGGGAGTCAAATTGGGTATATCGTCGAAAATCATCGCGCGCCAGGTATCTTTTTAACTCATTAATGCTCCGAAGACGTGACTTTGACATGCAGCTTTGAACAATTATTGTCATAAATAAATTATGAAAACTACTATATATGCCAGATTTTTTAGAATACTCGGTATTTAAAATCTTTCCAATTTACAATTGGTCGTCGAAAATGGCAAGTAAAAAATCAAATCTGTTTTCACTGTACTATTTTATTTTCGATCCAATTATTGAATCCTTTACCATTTTTTATATAGTTTGAATGCATACAATTTGTGCCTTCGAGGTTTGTGTACTTGACAGAAATATGATTATTTCAGTTTAAAAAATTTCACGGTTGGACAGGAAATATTAAATTATAAAGTTAACTATTTTTTATCTCAAAAACTATTGATTTCAGAATAATTTCAAAATAATCCAAAATCACCTTCGAAAATTTGGAAAAAATTTGAGAGGTTTTAATGAACAATTGTACGATATTTTGTTTCGTAGAAGAGACCAGAGTTGCAATTGAAATTTGCATCCTCAGAGCGTTAATGGGTTAAAATCAGAGGTCCATATGTTATTGACATAGGGATTGGGGCTTTTTTTGCTAATTATGAGTCAAAAAATATATTTTTTTGCTCCGAGGCGAAGGTATAATAAAGATTTTTCTTTGTAAAGAAGAAGAAGTGCAGGCCACTTTTGAAGAATTGGAAAATGCTTATCAAGCTTGGAAGGCGAGTAAGAAAAAAAAAAGAAGAATCAATCGATGCTTTATATAATCAATGAAAACATAACTGTAGACATAATTCAAAACTCAATAAGGTGCGTATCTTTAAATAGAAATTTAACGAAATTTAAGTTAGGTATTGTTACAGGTTCTACATATAATTTTGACAAGAGCAATAATATTTGATATATGGATAGAAACGATTTTATCTTTCAAGAAATAATGGCATGAACATAGTAATACATATAGCATTTCTGATGGAAGCCACGTTTAAACTCGCCGATTTTAATTTGTATAAGTTGAAGTTGAATCTAAATTATACATGTGCAATATTTTTAATAACTTTTTCCGCATCCTTCGTATTTTAATAAAATTAGTAAAATTATAGTAACAATTGGTAAATTTCGAGCTACAAGGAGACTGCTCATGATTTTACCGTCAGCATATTATTTCCTGTCCTTGCCTAAGTATCCGCTTGCTAAGATTTAAGCAAGAGCGGCAAATTACGATTTATAGCGCTCTATACAGTCGCAAGTACATGGAAAGATGACATCACAATACGAGAAATAAATATTTTTTTCTGCACTTGTTTGTGGTCCGCGCAAAGTCTACATCACAAAGCGGCAAACAACAAACGTAGCTGTATGACCGATTGCATACAACAACCGATCGCCCCCTTCTCTGCGTAAGTCCGTCGTTTCGCGGGAGCGGCTCCTTATACCCGCGGCTGCCGCGAGTTACCTCTTCTTCTTCTTCGTATCTTATCTCGCTCGCACCAGTCGTGCTGGTGGCTGCATATCGCGCAGTCGATTGCGTATATCGATACCTGCAAATCATTACGCGTAATTTGTCAATTGTTACGTAATTGAAAACATTTTTGAGAGTAATAACTGTTTGACTCGAACCGTTTTGGCAATATACAAGCGGCAAATATGGTGGAATTCAATTACTACGATCCCAGTGATATTTTTGTGAACGATAGTCGCCCCGAGGGCATGGCAGGAGCGGCGAACTTTGATTTGGCCGAGTCGTTCGCTCGCAGTCGTGGCACGCTCGATAGATGGGATCGAAACGCCGGAGCCGTTGCGCTCTATCGTAAGGATGGCGTGACCAAATATGTCATATCTGAAAATTCGAAAGACAAAAAGTACAATGCCGTATCGTACGGTAACGATCACTTCAAGGATTACACTTCGTCCCGTGACGGGTACGAAGCAACTTCTTACGGGCACACGGAGAGAAAATTGATGAGAGATGTATTGGACGATTTATTGGCCGATCAATCCACGCTCCCGGGGCCCACTTCAGTTTTCGAATCGCTGTCGGGAAAAGAGAAGGAATACGAAGTACTGAAATATTTAACCCATAACGCTGATAAATATAAGCGGTACTTGGAAGAAAAAGGTATTATAGTTAAGATATGGTCCGAGCGGCCGTCTTGTACTGCGGAAGCGAATGAAGGTTTTATAGGGGGGAGCAACTGCACTAAATTCGTACAAGATATCTGCCCCGAAGGAAGTCAGTATGGATTCATAGTCAAAGATTATGTGAAAAGCGATAACCTAATCGAAGGTGTACCGAAAGTACGGATGGCATATGAAGCATTGAAAAATGCCTACGAGAAATACAAGAAGACTCTGTGATTGATAAATATAATACAGTGTTGATTTCAACGAACCGATTTTAATTCGAAAAAGTTGAAGTAGATTGAAAATTTTGTTGTGCAATATTCATTTTTTTTTAAGTCTTTATATTTTAATAAAATGTATGTATGATTATACTCAGAAGAAGTGCATTTTACTTTTCTTCATATCCTTTAGTCACCTTTTTTTCCTATACGTGCTTTTCATGTAAGTACGTGACTGCATGACCGATTATATTTCAATACACGCTGCTGGTACACTCCTTCTCTGTCGGTCTCTCTCTCTCTCTAAAATTGTGCGAGCGGCCGCTGGCTACCTCTTTTTCTTCGTTTTTTATCTCGCTCGACAGTCAAGTCGACGACTGCGGTTGGACATTTACGCGATAGTCATCGTATCGAGTTTTTAAAGAATACAATGATTTTTTATAACTATTGTGATTGTGAAAAAAAAATTGAAAATAGCTCAGTGCCGCTCCAAGAAGCATAAATATGGTGAAATTCCAGTACTACGATCCTTGGTTTATTTTCGTGGACAATAGTCGGCCCGAGGGCATGACCGGAGCGGCGAACTTCGATTTGGCGCGATCGTTCGTTCGCAGTCGCGCTGTATACGATCGTAGTTCCGCAGGATCGGTAGCGTTCTATAGGGTAAACGATAATTACGGAGGAAATGCCGGAGCCGTGGGGCTCTATCACAAGGACGGTGTAACCAAATACGTCATCTCTCACGATTTGAGAAACAAAGAGTACAATGGCATGTCGCGCCGCGTCGAGGGCACCACTTACGGCCACACAGAGAGAATTTTGATGAGAGATGTATTGGACGATTTATTGTCCGCTAATTCGGCTGATCTATGCAGCGTGCCTAGACCGAGTTCCGTTTTCAAATCGTCGAACGTAGAGGAGCAGAGAAACGAGGTACTCAAATATTTGACCGATAATGCAGCTATTTACAAGCAATATTTGGAGAGAAGAGGCATCGTGGTCAAATTATGGTCCGAGCGACCGTCTTGCAATAAAGAAATAAATCGATGGATACCAGGCAGCAATTGCATTCAATTTCTGCGAGATATTTGCCCGCGAGGCAGCCAATTGGGATTCACAGTCTATAATTATTACGAGCGAAACGATAACTTTTATGGAGCACCGAGAGTACGCATGGCGTACGAGGCATTGAAATGCGCTTATCGACGATACTTGTACTGGACAACTGCGTACTACAGGGGAAGCCCGTTGATACGAATCACGAGCGACTGGAAGCACTGCTCGATCGATCGAGCGAGTTTTCAACTCAGAAAGTCCTTCGATTTAATGAGGCCAGGTATCGGGTATTCAAATTGTAGACATTATTATCGAAATTAAGAGTACAAAATAATACGGATACGAGAAATATAGGAGGTAGTATTTCACGTGCAACGTGAATTTCGACTTTGAAAATTTTCGACCGATCAACCTATAGAGCAATGTAAATAAATTGGAATATTGCATTTTTCGGAAAGGACAGGAGCCTTATTTTTAACTTTTGATGCACGAACATAGTATAAAATACACATATTGTACAAAATATACATATTGAATAAAATATACATATTGTATAAAATATACATATTGTATAAATTATACATATTGCCCTCATTAACAAAATTTTGTTTTTTTCGAGGAACAATGGCGCGAATAGAAGTAGGTATAGATTATTTTATGGACAGTTGTGAAGTAAACGCATTAAAATTATATTATATATTTTACTTCCTCATAGAAAAAATTTGGCTTACATATTTGGAAACTATATTGAATTACCAACAATAGATAGATAGAATAGATAGAAATAAATAGATAGATAGGTAGAAGGGAATCTTACACGAAATTCTTACAAAAAATCTCTAATCTCTTTTGGAGTTTCGTATAAAAAAATGAAAACGAAGTTCAAAATTTTAAAATGAAAAACGATTTAATTAATGTAATTAATGTTTAATTAATGTAATTTTTTATGAGGAAGCTTTTTGACAATAAATTGGCAGCGGTTTTCATCTTTTTACGCATTATTCATATTTTAATAAAATATGTATAGTTTAAAAAAGAATTTGATGATTTTAAGGTAAAAATTAAAAAATCAATATTATTTTATAAAAGTTAATAATTTGGCATTGCTTTGTTATGAGTCCAAAAAATTGTACTAATTTTGAAAAAATCTTTCATATTTCAAGGCGAATTCGAGAATTTGTTTTTGTTTTCGAATGATATTAAATGGTTAATTACCTCGTTCAATGCTGAAGGTATTTCGTTGTCACCCCTGTAGTAGGGAATTTTTTATTTTAATTCGAGCGCGAATTTGACGCAGCTAGAGGGCGCTATTGCTCAATAACATATATAGATCACCACAGCTGACAGCCAGGCAAAACATTAATACAATACACAACAACGCACATGAGGCATGTCGTCTTACAAATAACAAAAAGTTGACACAGTACCATCGCTGGACGATGGACAGGGAGGCGGACAGTGTTTACGGCCTCGTCGGCAGGTTGTGCGAAAGCATATACCACACCAACAGGCAGAAAAGCTACGACGATGACGAAAATGCACAGGAGGAAGAAAAGCACTTGAAGAGACTACGTGCCAGGGCCTACGAGATTCTGCTCAATAAGTCGGATAAAGATGAGGGTGTGTTTTATTTTTTCACTGTCACTTAGTTTAATAATTGTTAATTGTATCTTATTGATCACAGGTCAGCATGATGAGCCATGCGAGCCAATTATGGACCTCCTTAAGCACGCTTACATACTCAGAGTTGGTGCTGGAAGAATTTCGCAGGCTAATGAATTGGAAGAGTATTTAGATGAATTCATCGATGGAAAATTACAAGAAGAAGATCCAGTAGCTTATTCAATTTTACAGTTCCTCAGTAGTTTAAAATCGCTTGAATCAATCGATGATACTTCTCTTGTAAGTTCAGTGAGATTTACTTTGTACATAAACTTATAGTATCTTAGTTAATCAATAATAATTTTTCTGTAGAATATATTCTACTACGATAGACCTCATCCTCAGTTGCCAGAAATGGTATGTGGTAAGAGCTCTGTGCCACCTTTTCAAGTGTATCCTGTAGAGTCATTTCATTTGCCTAAAAAATTTGAAGCAATGCTTAAACAAGATAAGGGTAATATAATTAGTTATGATGGTATCGAGCCAGGAAATAAACTTGTCCTTCTTGATCGATTTGCATCTTGTACATCTATCATTCCTAGTATAAGGTAAGTAGAATTGTAGATTTATTATCAATACTCATAATAATTTTGCAAAATTAATTGCATAGGTACAGAGGCAATACAAATTCTAGTACATCTATCAGTTCAAAAGATACTATTCAATCCCTGAAAGAAATGAATTTCATGAGTGATTACTTTTTACCCCAAATAAGAGTAAGTACGAATATAAACTTTATAATTGTAGTAAATTAAATATTGATTAAAAATGTTGTCAAAATATTTTTAGGGTATTGAATCGCCTGATGAATATCTTCAAATTAATCGTGAAGGAATTGTCGAAGAGCCTGAAACACCTTTACAAGCCAAAGATCCTCTTCAAATGTTTGCTGAAAATGGTTTTGCTATACAAAAACATGATATGGATATCTGTGAAATTGAGGAAGATTTTGAAGAAACTAGTCCAGTGAACAATTTGGACAAAATGTGGGAAAACATGGATAAATTAGGTCCTATATCCAGTTACAGAACTTGGGAGACTTTGGGGGACTCAAATCCATCCAAAGAATTACCATTTGCTTCTGAACTAGTCGATGCAACCTTGCATATAATAAATGTAGCTCAGGACAATCTCTTGATGAATTATGTAAGTTTTTATTATGAGTATAGGATTTATATATTCTTTAAAAAAAAATATCTCTTATCAACTTACTTTCCAGATACCTGAAGTGAATGTGATATCTTACAAACAGTTTATTGATGATATAAAAGTACTCCTTCTTGGTGTTGAATCTAGTACATTCCTTTATAACCCAATGGTAAAAATGTTACTAACTTTTCTAGTACAATTTTTTATTGATAGTGTTTTAAAATTTTGAAATCTTTATAGAATGGGTTTGAACTCAAGAAAAACAGTGCCATACATGGAATAAGCTCTAGTACACTTGAAAATATGTGTTATGAAGTCACTTTTTGGGGAACTTGCTTCAAAAATCTCTCAGATATGGTTACGCCTGACCCAGAAACAGGAAAATTACAAATTGAGGGATTAATATTCAAGGTATGTCATAACGCTCAATTTGAATAATTATTTTTAAAATCCATATACTTTATCATAAAATTCATTCTATATTGCAGGCATTATGTGGGAGTATAAAAGAATTTTTACTATTCTACCATGCTGCTATTCTCAGAGTCACAACACTAATAAGTAGCAAAAATGGACTTCTGGAAGTTCTTGACAAACTTCGACCACTTGGAAATCTAATTGCTAAAGTAGCCCAGCTATGTAGGTGCGATAGGCATAAGACTACTTTAGGCGAAGGAATCGGTATCTTAACACATATCTACAAAGAAGTAACAAGAGTTACTGAAAAAAACGTAGCTTTGGTTTTTTACTCGATATTGAAGGATTGCTGTGAAGTATACTTTAGGTAACAATTACAATAATAATATTCAAAAAGTCGTTTATACTGCACAGTTTCTAACAATTCAATGCTTTAATAACAGATTTTTGCAACATTGGATTTTCAAGGGTGCCTGCGCCGATATTTACGAAGAATTTATGATCGTGGCGAGACCTCAGTATCTGCGCACTCGTACTCATCGATTCTGGACAAGAGCATTTATCATTAATCCAAATTTAGTCCCTGGCTTTCTTGCCGATCTCGTTAATCCAATCCTGCAATGCGGCAAAGCCATAACGCTGCTCAAGATTTGCGATCCAAAAGTAATTAACTTATATAAATAGAAAAAAAAATCTACTATATTCCATTGACAATTTTTCAGAATCCGCTCATCCGCTTATCGGTATCCAGCCAGCCTCCGGTTCACGTTTGTTTGAACGTTGCCATGCTGCAAGATCAAGCGCGTTTCTACGAGGATTACGCCGCGCGTGGCGAAGCCGAACGTGGAGAGCAACTCACGCTAAGCTCGGCGATACAGTCTCTCAAAGAAGCCGAGCGCAAAAGAGCCGCCCTCGTGATTGCTGCACAGCAAGTTACTTTATTGCGGCTCAAGAGTAAGTTTAACGTGATTTTTCAATAAAAGAAGCCATTTGTTGAGTTCTTCATTTGACATTTCAGAGGAGCGAGAAGATGAATTGAAAAAAATAGCAAAAGACAAACTCGATCTGCTTGAAGAATTGAAGGATCAAGCCGAACAAGCGGCTTTGAGGAAAGAACGCGATAGGAAAAGCGAACTGCTGGAGGATAAACGTATTCTCGAAGAATATCTCAAAATTGAAAATGAGGCGATACGACAAGAAAATGTTGGAAAGTACGTAAATCAGTTGTACACTAAAAAACAAAGCTCATTTAATATTCTTGATTTACAGGGAAAATAATTTGAGGTATTACAAAGAGTTGGCGGAAGAAATCGAAAATCGGCGGAGGATAAGGGAAGAATCTGCTTGCAAGGATAATCATGACGCGCCCGAAACGAAAACCGATGACTCGGAGGTTGTCAAATCTGATGAAAAAATTACCGATGAAATAACAGAAAAACCAAAAATAATCATTGACGATCTGGAAGACACGAAAAATGTAAATAGTGACTCAGCTCCTATCGAAGAAGCCAGCCCTGCTACAGTAGAAGTTGCTGCAGACGAAGAAAATAAAAGTTCCATTGTTTCACCGAGTAATAAGGCGGTTCGACCAACTGTACTCGATATCAATAGCGTAACAAATAGAAACATCGAAGCCAAACGTAACAAGCTCAAGGTCCTCGAAAGCGAGTTTGGCTTTGTCGAGCCCGCTGCCGATATACCTTGGACCAAATTAAACATGGACTCGTTGACGGAAGCTCAGAAGAATCGCTTGAAAATTTTGGACACCGAATTCGGTTTGAGCCCGGTGAAAGAAACCGCGCAGGTACGGCCTAAAATTGAAGACGATGATCTGACCGACGCGCAACGAAACAAATTGAAAATCCTTCAAAACGAGTTCGGTTTCGAAGAAGAGGATACAAAATTCGTCAAGCAAGAAACCGATCTCGATAACTTGACGGATGCTCAAAGAAATAAAATTAAAGTGCTTGGAACAGAGTACAACTTGGAGAACGTAAAAGAGGACGCGAAACCTCCCATCGATTTGGACAATCTAACGGACGCGCAGAGAAACAGAATGAAAATTCTTCAAAATGAATATGGATTTGGGGATCCTATAATCAATACCAACCCTACCTTGGATTTGGATAATCTTACGGATGCTCAGAAGAATAGGTTGAAAGTGTTGAATTCGGAATACGGCATATTTACGCCCAATAACAACGAACAAATCATAATCCAGAACGTCACAGACATCAGTAAAATGACGATTTCAGAGATCAACCGTATCAAAAATATGGCGCACAATGACTGGAACGAGCTAGTCGTCAACAAGAAATTAAACAACCCGAGCGGAAAAACCGAGATCCAGCTTAACTGGAACGAGCACGAGCCAGTCGAAACACCGGAACTTACGGAAGCTCAACAAAATCGTAATCGTGTCATGTCGACGGTCTTCGACTTACCCGCTATGAATGACGAAAACAAACCTCGAGGAAACAACGTGTCTTTAACCGACTGCCAAAAAAATCGTAATCGCAATATGGCTCACAATTTCGAATACGATTACAACGCGCACACGCCGATGTCAACGGCAACCGATATGTTCACGATCTCGACGCACAGTGGCTCGGCTCAAGAACCGCATAGTTGCGCCAATACGCCATTTTCAGAGATCACGAATCACAGGTTTGACTTGATATTTCACACGTTTAAATTAAAATTTTTTTATTCGACTCCTTCTATTAATTACCATTTTACAGTGAATTATTGTGCGCTCAATCGTCGGACGCCAGCGGTTTGACCGACGAGGTGTCGCGAAATAGCTTCAGATCGGATTCGAAAGGAATTTTCCACGACATGAGTCCAGCCTTTCCACAGTTCATTGGCTTGGCTTCGATGCCAAGCACACCGGCGGATGCTTTGGGTGAATATCAACCACCGCAGCATGAACAACAGAAGCAATTAACGAGCGCAGACATCGAGATGATAAACTCCACGTCTTTGCAAGTGTTTCTTGAGAAATCGATCGTCGTTCCTCTCTCTGTACAGAGCCGACTCGTCAACGATGCTATTGTCAAAGTAAAATTTATCTCCGTACAAATATCTACTTGCTTAGCATCAACACGATTAAAATTACGTGAAATTTTCTTTGCAGTATCTACTAACAGAGCATTCGATGCTTTCGCATTTGCACAGCTTGAGGAGTTACTACTTTCTTTTAAACGGTGAATTCGGCAAATCGTTGACGCAATCGCTGTTCACGCGTCTGTACCAAGTCGAATCGCCGGTGGAATTATTCAACTCGTCGATTCTGTCGAATTTCCTTGAGAAAGCACTGGTCAGCTCTCTGAGCGGAACTTACGCCAACTCAGAACTGCTCAGCCTTTCAGCTTCCGATTTACCCGATACTCTTCAGGTTTGTTGTTCGATGCTGAAAATTCGTCCCAAATAAGTTTGATGCTAATTAATTGAAATTTGTTATAGACCTCGAATCCAGAGGCGTTGAGCAGTCTTTCGCTAAATTACAAAATATCATGGCCATTAAACATCATTTTCAACGACATGGTTATGCAGCAGTATAGCAAAGTGTTTAAATTTTTGTTGATGGTCGGTCGCGTGCTCTGGGTACTGCAGGAGGACTTTCACATATTAAAAGTCGAGAGGAAAGCGTCATGTGCCAAACAACATCATAAGGTATTATTTGCTAAGGCCTTTAATTTAAATATACGTAAAAGTTTGAAGGAGAGCGTTCGAAAAATTTCCAATGAATATTAAAACAGTTGCAGCTATTTCGTCATTCAATGATGCAATTTATGAACGCGCTTCACACGTATCTGACTTGCGGTGTGTTGCACGCCAGCTGGGCGGAATTCGAGCGCGAACTCGAACAGGCCCATACGCTCGATGAGATAAACGACAAGCATGTCGCTTACCTCAAAAAGATACTGTCAAGGTAAGTAAAGTAAAATTAGCTCAGATCCTGCCTGCACGTACGAATTGATTTTACTTGAATATTGAACTTTCTCAGATGCATGCTGAACCAGCGTGGCGAAAAGATGCGCACCTGCTTGACGAACATATTCAAAGTGGTGCTGAAATTTCACAATCGCATAAGATCCCGTCAGCAGTCGACGCACACGGCATCGAGCTACGAGAATCTCGAGCGCATGTACCTGGCGTTTTGCGAGCAACGCGCCTTTCTGGCCCACGTAGCTGAAAAATTGGCTCAGGCCGGCTATCAGCCTCATCTAATGCAGTTTCTGCACGCGCTGAACATCAATCCGCGCTACGAGCTCGCTGTAAAAAAGTAAAGGCGTTCTATTTGAATTAAAAATATTGACGGAACCTCGACATTTTTGTCAAATTTTAATCGATAATCTGTACGAACTATGCAACAAATCTTGATGTTCTTTACGTGTATCGTGCAATTGTAAATTATAAAAAAAAAATTACGTTACATTTTTGAGTTATTTACATGTTATTTGTGCGAAGTTGCAAGATGTTCACGTTTTAATTAATGTCGGCTATTATTGGCACCTCAAAAGTACATAAATTACATTGACAAATAATTGATGTTCACGTCTACCACGCATGGGTCATTCCTTCCGCGCTTTTCTTGCCTCTGCATATACTCGAATATATTTTCGTTACAGATAAAATAAATTACTCGTTTTTGATATCTCTTGTAAATACATGTAAATCAAATGAAATTATCGCTTTAGAGGCATCGTTACATCCGCCTTTTTTCTTTGTGCAAGATTGTCTGTATTAGGACTTTTAAATATGTATCAAGTTATGTTTAATTAATCTCATGTTGCTTATTGTAAAAAAAACTAATCTTTTGCAAGCTTGTTATCTATTATTAGCAACGTTATCGTGGTACTTATTAGTTATAAAATATTGTTAGTTATGCTTTATGAATGTAATATTAAAATGAAAAAATATTTACACGTTTTTTTATGTAAGCACAAAAATACTCGTAGTTGCTATACAAAAGCTATTTCCTAAATAATGAAATTATAATAATTATTACCAAAAATGTATTACCTTATGCAAAGCATAAAAACAGTTACATTCAAGTTAATTTTAGTACTTCAGATTAGTATTAAGTAATCGACGCTTAGTTAATTAATTTTTTACACAATTTTTTATACTCAATTTATTAGTTTATACTTCTAATTAACATATCAATTGTAAAGTGTCCTTGATAGCAGTTATTATTTATTTGAATTTCAAGTTCATTCAATTGCAATAAATTCTTTGAAAACACTTTTTGAATCTCTTATTTCTTTCCTCGCATTTATAGTAAGATTTTAAAATATTATAATTTTCATTCAAACATGTGAAATGTGACGAAAAAAAAATCGTCCAAAATCAAATAAATACGACATCACGGTAGTAACTTAGTTTATGAACTGATCTCAGATGTCTTCGATATTGCAGATGCAAATTTACAAGAACATAGTTAATGTTGAATGAATAAAAGTATTTTACATTATTTATACTTTACCTTGATTTAATAATCTATCTTATTTAATAATTATTATCAAACCTAGTATTTTGAACTTATTTAAATTTCTTGATATGTATTAATTGCAGACAAGAATCATATTCCATTATAGTACGCCCTGAATAATGTAGTTTGGCTGGGCTTGGCCAACTTGCATGATTAGTCATTGTGATCCGCAAAATTAGTTATTTTCAAAATTGATAGCGTTACTGGTTAACTCTGATAATCAGTCTAGTTCATTTCTAGATATTCTGTACGGTAATTGATCAATAACAAAAATGTATAGTCCCACTAGCGACTGTAAGCGTCAGTTTTGAATAGTTGGCCACAGAAAATCGGTCACTCAATTTATCAATACAACATGTACACTGAATCGACTGTTCACTGAAAACTGATCAAAGTGTTTAATAGCATAAAAGATTTGTGGCAAAATAAGAATATATCTGCCAAAATGGCATCATATTTATCTTATTAAATGAGACATAAATGTCTTATGCGCAGCCACAAATTAATTGCGAGGAAAAATTCGAATCGCAGATTTTCTATTTCTTTTTATTCAATCAAAAGTGAAGCCACTCATATCAGTTTCTAATTGGTCGACTTATTTTTGTCTCGAGCCGAAATTAAAAAAATAATCCATTAACTTAAGGAGTTAAACATTTCATTAGCTAGCAATCAAGAATATAATTTCATTTTTTCTAAAAATTAATTATATTTTTTAAACTTAAATATTGTGTTTACATAACGGAATAATATCGGAGGAATTAATGATATTATTATTAAAGAAAATATACCATTTTAAAATACGATTGTGCATGGAATCAAAGTGGATTTTGAGTTAACTCTTCTGTTTGAATGTATTTCCGTACACATCACACGAGTGGGTGGTTTTATTGTGCACTCCATCGATGTGGATTTTAAGACCGCTCTTATATGTGAATTTCTTCCCACATAAATCGCATGTATGTTTGGTACCGTTGTGCACCGAATCGATGTGCATTTTGAGAAAACCTTTTTGAGCAAAAGACTTTCGCAAATATCACATTTATGTGTGACACCATTGTGCACTGTATCGATGTGGATTTTGAGAACATGCTTATATCGAAATTTTTTTTGGCATACATCACAAGCGTAGGTTTTCCCATTATGTACCACATCGATGTGAATTTTGAGATTACTCATTAGGGTGAATGTCTTTCCGCATGTATCACATGCGTGAGTAATTTTCTTGTGCTCAGAATCAATGTGGATTTGAAGATAACTCTTTTGAGAAAATGTCTTGCCGCATTTATCACATGTATGTTTGTCAGCTTTGTGTACCGAATCAACATGGATTTTGAGCTGACCCTTTTGAATGTATTTCTTCCCACAGAAGTAGCATGGATATTTAGTACCATTATGCACTGAGTCTATGTGGTTTTGAGAACTTGCGTATATCGAAATTTTTTTTGGCATACATCACAAGCGTAGGTTTTCCTATTATGTTCCACATCGATGTGAATTTTGAGATTACTTTTTTGGGTGAATGTCTTTGCACGTGTATCACATGCGTGAGTAATTTTCTTGTGCTCAGAATCAATGTGGATTTGAAGATAACTCTTTTGAGAAAATGTCTTGCCGCATTTATCACACGTACGTTTGTCAGCTTTGTGTACAGAATCAACGTTGGTTTTAAGATAACCTTTTTGAGTAAAAGACTTTTCGCAAATATCCCAGTTGCAAGGTTTCCGTTTGTTGTTAAGCATTTTCGTAATTCTCTTTTTATTATATTGTTCGACAAGTTCGCAGTCGAGATTCAAATTCGATTCTTCTGCATTGTAAGCAACAATTTCTTGTTTCACTTCAACCGCGGGTTCTATTTTAATAATGTTTTGGGTTCTATAATCATCGTTATTTTTCACATTCCGCAAGTAATTTCGAGAATCATCTTCAATTTTTGCAACTTTTAGTGAATTAATGTTGGGCTTGACGTCTTCACATTCCACAACTATTTCCACTTCGTCACCTACTTCACTATCTTTTTTGTTACATTTTCGAATGGCATGGCTCTGTCGGAAAATGAATGAAACGTGAGAATTATCATGGAAAAACCAACTAAAATAAAAGTTATGAGGAATCATCAACACTTACGGAGTTCTCATGTAAAAACGGTAAGAGTTGAAAGTTTTTAAAATCGAGTTTTTCGTCAACAATGTCGCAATTTTTTTCACTGAGAGATACATCAATAGTAGGTTCATCTTTCGCGCTAAAATAAATCCAGCAAGATCCGGTAATTTGTTGTAATATTTTCATGTCTTCATTTCCATCATATTTACCTGACAGCACAGTTGAATAAACTACTAGATTCCATTGATATCACTTGCAACTTCGTGAAAAACTAATCTCTCTGTGGTGATCGTACTAAACTACAGAAGAAAACTGACGAAGAGCACTGAGAGCGGAGCTCGTTCTGTTGTTTACTATGTGCGTCGATCCTCTGTGACCTCTCCCTGTGTTTCTTAACGGCAAGCAGTGTTTTGCCCATGCAATATACTAAGCGGCGATTTAAGTCATTAGGATTACACCATTGTAAAAATGGCATTATGTATCTCATGTCTAGTGAATATTAAATACTTTTCTAGCAACGATTTATTTGTAAATCGCTGTTAATGGAAAAGTGAAAAATTAATAAATGATTCTACGGTGCCTGACGATATCGAGTAAGAGAGCTAGTTCTTTTTAAAATTAACCGTTGAAGGATAGGAAGATAAAGTCATGAAGTCCACAAGATATTTTGTTGAAATATTTAGCTCCGAGAATTGAGTGAGTACTGCGGCCACAATGATCACGGTATCATTTTATCTGGGCTTACTCGGATCAATTTTATTACGACAGGTTATTTGTTATTGATGAATATTTATTCATTGAAAATTCATCAATAATCCAAAGCAATATCAAAAAACCGCTGCCAATTTATTGGCAAAAAGCTTCCACATAAAAAATTACATGAAAAGGTTTGATTATTAAAGGGAAAATTCGTTTTTCATATTTAAACGGTTTTTTTTATTAGTTAGTTGGATTTACTGAAAAAAATTACTGGTCCCGTATTAATCTTTGGAACATTGTTTGTAATCATCTGCTTCAGTATTTCCGGATGTGTGGTACGATTTCAAAAGCTTATATTTTAATATGAAGCAGGAAATTTGATAACTTATTGTCTTTTTTTCTCTTAGATGGTGATGAAATATAAAAAAGATACAAACATTGCTCTGAAAATGGGTCTTGTATACATCATGTGTATCTAGTACTTATTTTTCACAAGCTATGCCTCGCAAAAAATCCATGATGCCAGCAGTGACATTTGTAAATACTGGTGAGGATTTCGAGTATCGCGAAATTATTTTATTCGGGATGAATACAAAATTTTCGGTCATTTCTGCCCAAAATAGTTCTTCTACTGACTACTATAGATAATCAATAAAAACAAGGAAAATGATACCACTAAAAATGATTAGATCCATTAGACCTTGCTGTGTTAGAATTGGTCCTTGTTAATATTTGAATTATGAAACTAGTCGGCAGGCAGTTACGAATGCTAACCAAGATGTAAATAAATAATTCATTCACATAACTTTACTATTTTATTTTAGATTATTCAATTGTTTTTGTCTTACATTACTGCATTAATGGCTATCTATCATCATTAAGCCGTGACTCCTAAAATGTAACAAATTAAAAAAAATTCCTGCAACTACGGTTTGAAAATATTTTTTTTCGAATTTGAAGCATAATGGAGACATACTTATCAAGATCTTGCACCACTCTGGTACAAAGTACATCAAAAAACTTCTTCTGCTTCAAACATCGTTGAAGTGTATCGCACCGTTGGAAATTACTCGTAGATTCGAAAAATTATCTATTTCCGAACTGTCTGACTAAAGTTTTTAGAATTTGGAAACCTGTGTTAGCCGCGTGTGAGCAAAGGCCGTCAAACAAATTGAGAATTAATAAAAACATTTAGACTCGTCAGATCGTTCGTCAAGTAGAAGTATGATATGTGTCAGTGTACTTCAACCCACGATAGTTTGAAAGAAAAAAATGTGTGATCTCGATGATCTTAGCTATAACATATACTGAGAATCGTTTATACTGTTTTTCCAATGAGAAAATTCAATGCGATGCAGCGCTTTATTGTCATTTCGATTGATCGTTCGATGGAGCAGCTATCACTGTAATAATCCATGAAACATTTAGATCTCCTATTCTTGGAAATAGATGCCACATGCAAATTGTCTGCATCGAGCAACGCGGAATTAATAAATGAAAAACAAAAAAAAAGATCGTTGTACATTTACAAGTGAGCGCACTCTCGTACATCTTGAACATTTCCGAGTTAAAAAGCTCATTTGTATACTTTCAAGCTCGAGCCGCGCATTCACGCGCTTTTCGCGGCACCGCGTTCAGATTATTTTATCGCGCGCGCGAGGTAAGCCTCGGCCGTACACATACATGTATAATTCGAACGAAATATTTAAAAGTTGGCCGTCGGCGTTACGTGCTCAATCTCGCTCGTATTTTACGAACGTTGATAGGGGCTTCCCCGCGCGGCTATCCTACTTTTTTTCTATCAATTGCAGGCGAACTCGTTCGCGATGTCCTATGCAAGAGCCGATAAGCGAATCTCGAGTGTCATGGGTGCAGTGACTAAGTAAATGATTACGGAGAAATAATAATGTAAAACGTAGCAATCCTTAGTCGAGTCGCTCGTTCGTTGAGTAAAGCTTTAAAAAAAAGATGTTTTTTTTTCCAAAATTTTCGAATGTAAAACTCAAAACGATACAATTCCATTAGCTGTCAAACAATTCCAACGAAATTAAAGACCAATCGGTGGATCGCCGATCCGTGCTACACGCGTCGACGCTGTTATTGCAAAAAAAAAGGGAAAAAAAAGAAAGAGAATTGCATTATCGGCTATTACCGTCGACACTTGTGCGCGAGGCACATATGCAAATAACGATGCCCGATGATTGCCTGTTTGCCTGCCTGCCTGCCACAGTGCATCGCGCGCTTAAATAATATCGTCCAAAGTGCTGCAGCATATAACACTCTGTGTCAACCGTGAATCGCACACCGACGCGCGGTAGATCCACCCCGCACACGCGCGCGCGCATACAAACACGTATCTCGGTTTATATAGATACTTATAGGTGTCTATGTGTGCAAATATACTTTAATGAAAGTAGTCGGTATGGTTCGTGTCGTTACATACGATATATCTATATGCACGTATATTGTGTAGTACACACGTATCGTTGCGGCGAAATTCCGGAGTCTCTTGGGCTGCGCGCGGAGGAGGGCATCGCTGCTGCGTGCATTTACATTATTATTACATACACGCACACACCTTAGAGTCGCCTTTTCGCACACATGCTCGCACTCCTTAAATTGTCAGTGCCGTGTACGATAGCGTAAGGCTGCCTCTCGCTCGGATATTAATTCCGCCACACGCGAATTCGATACACGTCGTCCACCCGTGCAGTGCGCGAAAAAAAACGTCGACTCGGCGACTTGTGCAGCTCGTCTTCATCGTTGTTGTGATAATACATTATATCGTGTCCCTGTGTGTGCGCGCGGCGAGGCTGAAGCTCGAATTATAGATTGTTGCGAAAAAAGTTTACATCGTAATAAAGGAGTTGCGAGAGAAAAAAGAAGAGTCGAGAGAGGAGGCGCGGGTCATCAATTTTCTGCGAGGACTGCTGCTGCTGTTGCTGCTGCTTCTGTTGGCTTCTGCACTGTGCTGCTCGCGATCACCTAACCTCAATCCTTTAACTCTCTGTCTCTCGCTCTCTTCTCTATATGTCCGGTGTGCGAAACCGTAAAATGTAACATCTATTGCCATTGAGGCATATGCATTGTGCTGTGCTGCGCTAAACTTGGTGCATATGGATATATATATACAGTCAGCAGCGCGTATCTAGACGTGCGTGTGTATCTATACACGTATACTATAACAACGGCATAATATCTCTAGTGTATACTCGTTTCACTGATGTGCTCTGCTCTGCTGCTAACTAACTGCGACCGACGAGAACGATTAGTCGGTCTACTCTCGGCGGCTGCTGTTACTGTGCCTGCTATATAATATAACTCGTCACTTTTTCTCTCTGTATATCTCCGTCTCTCTCGGTGGGTGTGCAATTCAGCGTTCACAAGGACACATACGTAGCCCGAACTGCTGCTGCTGCTACTGCTGTAAGTTTCGAGCAAGCGAGAGAAAGAGATCGCAGAAAAAGCTGCATCATTTTCAGAAGAGTCAGTCATATAAGAAAATACGTATAAAGAAGCGACGACTTGAGGAGATGCATCCGAATGACTGCCGCTGCCACTACTGCTGCTGCTGCTGCTGCTACTACTACTGCAGATGATATAATATAATATAATTTACATATACACATACATGTTGAACGCGTGTGTGCGCGGTGTTATACGGCACGTCGTCGTCTTCGTCGTCGTCGAAGGATGACGTATATTAACAGTTGCTCCAAAGTTAACAGAGACAATCGCCAAAGAGATTGAGAGATTTTAGCGTTACATATTTTTTTTTATCTTCCTTTCGTGCGATCCGCCGCGGCTTTGTAGTGCTCACTTTTTATTTATTCGCTCTCAGTCTCTCGATCTTGCATTCGCGAAAAAAACCCAATCGAGAATCCGTCCTTCTTCTATCATCTAATTGTTGAGATTCGTAATAATTTGCATCTGCAAGTCTTGAAATAATCGTCGTCGATTTTATCCGGTGTAAAAATGGTGAGTACGACCTGTGACCATATCATCCGTGAGCAACATCCAATTGGTAATTGCAATTAATTTTTTTTGTGCAGAGTTTTTTTGGTTTCGGCCAGTCAGCCGACATCGAGATAACCCTCGACGGTGCCGATAGCAGAAAAAGTGCCGACATCAAATCCGAAGACGGCAAGAAAGAGAGGCATTTGCTGTATTTAGATGGGGAGACTGTGTCAGGCAAGGTAAGCAAATATGTGTCAAATTCTTCATCATTTTCGACGTTTGCCTTGAAAACTATTTTGACTTGACTTATCTCTGTCCCAAAAAGATCAATATCAGCCTGCGAAAAGCAGGTAAATTGGAGCATCAGGGAGTCAAGGTGGAGTTCGTTGGACAGATAGAACTTTATTATGATCGAGGCAATCACCACGAGTTCACCAATCTGGTTAAAGAATTAGCTAGACCTGGTGAACTAACGCACAATACAAGCTATGAATTTGAATTTGCCAATGTAGAGAAACCATTCGAAAGTTACACTGGCTCTAATGTAAGACTACGTTATTTTTTACGAGTTACCATTGTTAGGAGACTCAGTGATATTGTTAAAGAAATTGAACTTGTTGTACATACCTTGAGCTCATATCCTGATATGAATAACCCTATCAAGATGGAAGTTGGTATTGAAGATTGTTTACACATTGAGTTTGAATACAATAAGAGCAAGTGAGTGTCAACAGTCATTTTGTTTTTTGAATTTCTAGATTGAAGTTTTATTTAAAAAATATTTATTACCTCTTTTGTTACAGATATCATTTAAAAGATGTAATAGTAGGAAAAATTTACTTTTTGCTGGTCAGAATAAAAATCAAACATATGGAAATTGCTATTATCAAACGAGAAACAACTGGTTCAGGTATGTAAATTTTTTTCTCTTTTAACAAGAAACATTTTTATTTTTCTTGAAAGTTTAATTAAAATAAATTTATCCAGGTCCTCATACATTCACGGATAATGAAACAATAGCCAAATATGAAATAATGGATGGAGCTCCAGTGAAAGGAGAATCTATACCCATTAGAGTATTTCTGGCTGGTTATGATTTAGCGCCTACCATGCGTGACATAAATAAGAAATTCAGTGTTAGATACTATCTGAATCTTGTTCTCATGGACGAAGAAGACCGCAGATATTTTAAGCAACAGGTTTGATAGGAATAACTTGACATTTTTTATTTTTAAAGTATTTTTTGAATTTCGAAAAATTACTTATTTTGATGCACTATTTCAGGAAATTACTTTATGGCGTAAAGGTGAAAAAAGTCGCAAATCTCAATCGGCCTCACCCCATCTTCCATCTCATCTTGTATCTTCAGAAACAGGATTTCCGCAAGGTGCTCCAACGAATGGACCTCCTCAGTCGAAGAAAAACAGCGACGATCCTTTGCAAGATGGTGAATCTGAATCTCCGGAACAAAGCGAGTCTAATACGCAAGATCCGCAAGAAAGAGAACAGGATCGAGATCACGCTGCACCTATTGAGGGAATGCAACGCGAGGAAGGTGATGGTGAGGGGGACGATAAAACCGATGAATTAAGTCCTGACAGCGCTAGTCAGTGATTAGACCCATTTTATCAAGTTTGCAAATTTTGATTACAAGCGGAATTGAAACATATTTCTATGAATCTTTGTGCCGATAGAATGCCACCCGATTCTTATTATATCGTTGGAACCACGAACAATTTTACATTCTCGTAGGTATTGTAATAGAGACGGTAGACTCATGGCGTTATAATTGATTGTTCGCAAGTTGCGAATTTTTGTCTCAACTGTTAATTTTCCCACTAGATACACACAAAAATCATCAATATTTTAAAAACTTACAACCGTAATGAAGGAACGATCATTCAACGATTTTTTACACAATTAACATTTTTTATTGGAATTTTTATACTACAAAAGGGATGAAAATTTAATAATGAGGAATCAATTATTCAATCAATTTCAGGTCTAACTTTTTATGGACACATTTTTGTGTGTACTTAGTCACGCGAGAATATTAAAAATAATTGAATTTTTATGTATAGATAATTTAGGAATTATGCGAGGGTAAATACGATGCTCGTTTTGAAAGATTTATAACAACATATAATATTTTATTCTCAACACGGGAGCTTCTTTAAGTAAGATTATAAAAAACTTAAACTTCATTGAAAATTGTAAATATCAATCGAATTATGATGATGCATACATGCACAAGCATGAGCATTGACGATGTTACAACTTTTATAGTCATGTCTTTCCATCACAAGTTTTTTCACTTTAAGATATTCACTTAAATATACAGTATGCAATCTATAGAAAAACAAATCATTGTGTATTTACATTAAAATCAATCAGTCAATCAAGACTGCTGGTTTGTTTTTGAAGGAAATAATAAGTCATTAATTGTTGAATGTAACGTCCAACTTCAATTATAAAAAAAAAACCATGACGCTTCTTGATGAGAAAGAGAAACTTTTTTCAGTAATGCGAAGCTTTTTAATTATTTAAGTTGAAATTTTTTAAAAATATATATAAATATTTACAAATATTATTTCGACTTGAATGTATCGAAGGTCTATGAAATGTATCATCGACGCACATTTTTGTTATCGAATTTTCTAAATTTTTGAATATAGATATATTTTATTTTTTTTAATGCCAATAATTGTACATAAACGACAAAATCTAAAAAAAAAAGTATTTGTAACTCGTAGCTGGAACGTATTGAGAAAACATTTCGAATAGCTTGATCAAATAATGCTTGTGCTACATCTATTTATGTTTGATTAGTATCATCACATGTAAATAAAATTTCGTATAAATTGTCCGTTTTATCGATTGGTTTAATATTGTTATACGGTTCAAAGACTTTTACCAAAAGGGCGGGAACTAATGTTATGATTTTAAATAAAATTCTTGTTTTTAATAATGCAATTTTTTTAAACAAATATTGTAATACTCATAAGCACATATATGAAAAAAATATGAACAGGCCATATTTCGCAAGATTTTACTTCGATTAAGTTCACAAACAATTTATGGTAAATACGTCCGTACTTGGTCAGTAGGAAAATAAGCTAGATTACAAAATTTACTGAGTCCTGGTTATTTTATCATTTTACCGCTTATCATGAATCATTGTCAAATGGCCAAGTGCGAGCACGTTTTTTCTACCTGTGTATCTTAAGTTATAAATACGTATATCTTGTAAGCCTCTTTTGTCGTGCCTGGCAGTTTATTAATCAATTAAATGTGTAAAATCTACGATCCATTCGAGCAATGAACTTTGGCTGATTCACAAGTGATTCAGTATAAAAAGAAAAAAAAAAAAATGAAAATCAAAAAAAATTAACGAAAATTGTTGATAAAAAATACTTCTAAATGGTCATGGTGAATTTTAAGAAAAAAAAACCATTACAGGGCTTATTAATTGAGGCGCAATGAATTATAATATATATTATAGATATTTACTGTCAAATCGTTTATTTTATCAAAAAGGGAATTATTTATTAAAATAAAGACTCTTGTATAAGAATGGTGTGAGTGTGTAACATTTCATCGATATAAAAATATATTAAACTTACTCTTTGTTATTGTTGTTGGAAGGCCGAGCATAAGCGGAGTTTATAAACAAGCAAGTGCGTGAATGATTATCTTAAATTTAAATTTACATGTAACATAATGTATATAACTATTACGCGTACATATTATATTATATATAAAACAAAAAATATATTATCCTATAACATAAAAAAAGCTGCATGTTGCTGCATATACTCCTTGAAATTCATTTTCTTTCCGCGTACCGATAGTTGATCCGTCGATGAAATATCGAAATGCGCGAAACTCGATTCGCGCTTTCATACAGCTGCCTGCCTGCCGCCGCGGCTGCCTTTGGAGGTAAGCGCTGGCTTAACACTTGACCGTTTTCATGTCAAAACCGTGCGTGTTTGTTGTGTGTGTACATGTGTGCGTGCGACTGTATACACAGAGAGAATCGCGATTCTGAGGTTATGTTCGCATTTTTGCCTCATATACCTTTGTGTATGCCTGTATATGCTGGCAGACTATTTACTGCTGCTAGATCATCAGCAGCGCACAGTCACAGAGGCAGGAGAGAAGTCAGCCAGCAGCAGAGCTCGCACAGCATCTCCGCGTCTTTTTTAATGGATAATAAAAGCCGTCGTGCGTGCTCCGAGTCGGTCCTCCTGCTGCACACGAAGTAACATAATCATCCGCAGAGATAGACAAGTTCCGAGTGCGCGAGGCATCGAGAGTTTTGCGAAGAGATCCGGTGCTGATATATATGTATAACGTGTACACAATTATATGTACATGTACGCTGCTCGTTATCGTCGTGACGAAAATGAGGTAAATTTTTTGCCCTCCTCGTCACCGCAGTCACTCTCGTGAGTAGTGAGTGCCGTGCGAGTGTATTATATGTGTGCCACACGAGTGTTTAATATACCTCTTATACATCGGGCATTGTTGTGCAGGAGAGAGTTGAGTACATGGCGAGAGCGCATAGAGAGAAGCATTCATGCATTCGCGGCTGATAATTAAAAGTAGGCATCGAGTGTCCGTGTGTAGCTAGTCGAGCAAAAATAAAAAGAGACTTCGTAAAGACTGATTAAATGTTCATCGTTACACATACATGTTGCGCGAACACGACGTCAACAAAAACAACACCAGCAGCAGCAGAAACTACAACGACGTCGACAGCGACAACGTAGTCGTAAACCGAATTCTTCTAGTTGATTACAATAGCGAGGTGGCCTGTTACACGACACGTCGTGTAGGAGTTTGGCCATTATCAACGCCAAAGCAAAAGACAACCACGGAGGGAAAGAGAGAAAAGCTGCGGCCGCCTATACAGAGCCCCAGTCGTGTGTCGCAATTTCGCTTCTCTGGCGTTTTGAATGAAATTGAAAAAGCGTAAGAGTGCCTGCGCTCAGTGCGTCAGTATGCCTGCCAAAGTGTCGAAAAAACTCATTGGCATGCTCATGAGAAATCGCAAATCCATCATCAAGGATGGTGTCATTACGGTGAGTTGACATTACACTGTGTTACATTGTATTTTGGAAAGATAGAGTTGGGTACGATCACAGCTTCTAACTCATTGGAACTGTTTCTTTTAGGCTATTCGATTACTCATTGTTAACAGAAAACAATTTGGTTTTAATGTTCTGGCTAATGTGGTCGAACAATCACAATGAAATTGTTCATTGCGAACAGTTGTTTTGGTTTGAATGGTGGCTAGCGATAACTTGAACTTACTGATAGATCAATTCTTCATTATCGTTTTGTTTGAAACTGTCTATTGCAATAACAATTTAGTCATTCGGTTAGCAACTTATTTTTATGTCTATAGACATATAAGGTTTTAGTCGTACACAAATGAGTAATTATCTACTACTGAGATTAGCACAAATTATATAGAAAAAAAATGTGCATAATTTGTATCCTACAATCAACTGAGCTTACGACAGAGTACCTCTAATCGCTGAGCTCTTTGCAGCTGCAAGCTTCATTTTATTATAGCATAAAAAAATGATGTCTCAGCCAGTGTCTGTCAGTAAGCAAGTGTTAAATTACATTAATAAGTGCTGACGTGTCTCTCCCACGCGATTGACGATAAAATCTTAAACGTTAATTAACAATCCCATCCCTTTGAACTCATCATCGTTGTACACGATGAATCTCAAAATTGTTTGCCTAAAAATGCCCTTTCTCCTGATAATTTTATCAACGCCATGAGCCGCTCCGAAACATTCCATCTGTTTCTCAACGATAAAAAGACGTAATATTTATACATCGTTCACACGCATACATGTATCAACATAAATGTATATAGGAGTCGTGCGTTGCACGAAAAAGCCGCGCTCGCGATAAGAGAAAAAAAAATTTGTCGCGCTCTTGGTTCGTCTCCCACCTACCTCTCTCTCTCTCTCTCTCTCTCTCTCTCTCTCTCTCTCTTTCCCGGACTTGTGTGTGCGAGGTATAGGTATAAGCCATGCATGCACACAAGAGAATCGCCGCACGCTCGTATCGGTCGAACAAGCGCGCGACGCTATTGTTGTAAAAAAAGAAAAAGAAAGAAAAAACGAGGTGTGCACAATTGTATACTTATAGTCGCGATCTCACCCGCCGAAGCTATGTACACGCGTTACGACACGCATGAGCATACTCGGCAATAACGTACACTCTTTATATTTCTTTTTTTTTTTTTGCTCGCTTTCCTGCTTTAACACACATACTCAGGGCAGCAGAGCAGACACTCGTGTATAATATGACAGAATTTCACGATCGCATTTCTACGTATTATTACCTCGAACGAGTGCCCCGCGAAGCGCGAAGACATCACGTTTTGGGTTTTTTTTGTTGCCATTTTTTTCATGGTTCTTTCATTGGGCGGCGATTACTCGAGGATAGGCAATTAGGCTCAATCTGCTCTGAACCGCGCGAGCAGTTATGATATTTAATTTATCGTGCTCGACTGACGATTTTCCTTCAAAAAGTGCCCCCCGCATCATAGAGTTTTTTGGAGCGCACAATGTATATACCTAATATACACGAGATAATAGCCGAATGACACGCATCTTTTTTTCTCTTTCTTCTATTATCGTTCACGTCATAAAGTCGTTAGAATTATGAAATACAACTTTATCAGTTCGTCTAGTAAGCGTATAATCGACACAACACGTTCCACGTGGATTTAGAAATTTTTTTCAGTAAATTACAAAAAAAAGACCTGCGGGCTCGAGCACGCTAAAATTACACTCTAGTGCTGAGCAACTCCTTGTTAATCACGGAAGCTACTTACCGCTAACTCAGCTTTAATGTTTGCTTACATGATCAAATTCACTCTACAATAGTGCTCGGTTTCTAGTCGTTTTTTTTTCTCTCCTTTACCGACGAGCAGCACAACTCGATGACACTTGATTGGCGACGACGCGTGAGTTTTTTTTATTTTTTTTTTTTTATTAATATTATCATTATCAGCGAGAAATTTGAAACAATTCTCGGAATGATTACTAAAAGTCAACGTTGTGGAAAACGAGATAGAGACCTAAATTTATTTTAAACAAGGCTCTACACACCGAGCTGTGTTCAATTCGCTTCCTTTTCTTCTTCTCTCTTATTATGTATGATATGCTGCATGTATGTATCTATTGACCTAGTCTATGCAGCCACTGTACAGACGACAATTCGTTAACGATCGCGGCGTATATGCATATACGACTTCGTAGTAATGAAATCGATCGCTTTCGATTGGTTTGGATGGATCGACGATTTTTTTCATTGAAAAAGCATATGCGCGTGCACCGCGAGCTATTTGAACGATTTGAATCCGATGCGGATGTCAAATGTACGTATATACACGGAGGTATAATAATACCTGAAATTATTTTATCGCATTGTGCGCGTAATCCAACTCCGCGATCCATAACGGTATACAACGAAATTACACTTGTACTATCGGTGCACATATATAAAATATAAATGGACAAAAATGAGAGAGAAAGAGAGAAATAATAATAAAACGCGTGTGTTATGTGACATATCGCGCAGAGGCTACAGTCAATTGGCGGCAATTGACTCGCGCCTCGATGACACGTCGTCGTCGTCGCGCGTCCGTGCGCGCCTTAGCGCCTATAGTTCAAGGATACCTTTAATATGCACAGAACCGCGCGCGCGTATCAAATCCGAGTTTCGATCGAACTTTTGAAAAAAGGAAAAAAAAAAAGAAATTGACGCTGCGGCACAGACGTGCAAAAATGCGCTGTCGATATTGTGCCATTGTAGGATATGTATAATACCGCGCATGTACGAGCTGACTAATTTTGTCGAGAAAAAAAAGAGAGAGAACGAAAAAATATGATTTTTTAACACGCAACGTTGTAACGAGTCACGATAACTCTTGGGTACACGCGCGCTTGCAATTGCGAGTGTCAAGCTCTCTTCTAACAGAAAAAAATTTTCGGAGAAATGAAACGTTTAAGCGAATTTTAACGAATTTCGTTGCGTGTCAAAAGACATGCCCTAAAGGTCGTGTAAACATTTTCTGTATCGCGATCTATAGTGACACTTTAATTTGAGCTTGTTACGGATTTATTTGAAAATTATTATTGTTGCCGTTTTTTTTCGCTTCGAATCGATCGCGCGCGTACAAAAGTGCATTTACACAAATAACTGCTGTTTTGTTGCTGCGAGTCGTCGTCGTCGTCGTCTACGCGATCGATCGTATGTCATAATCGCGGCAACAGCCATAGATTGACATTGACAATGATTTGCTTTTTTTTCCATTTTATTTTCATCCATTTTTTAACATTAAAATTATGGAAGCTTTTACGTTACATCGTGCGCTGGGATTTTATTTGAAAAGAAAAGAAAAGAAAAAAACCTATCTGAGATTTTTTCGTACTCTCGCACACGCATACGGTTTAGTCATCAATTTGTAATCTCCATTCTCGTTCCGGCAATTTGAGCTCGCAATATCAGTTTTTTTTCTCTTCCTGTTCGCGTGAACTCGAATTCCAATTTTTATTTTTTCGAATCTCAAAAAAAATCACATATCAAAAAGTACTAAATCGCTCGCACGTGCCGTGCGCTTTTGCATAATTCAAATGTGTTTGCGGTAAGGAAAAAAACAAACGATCTCCGCACAATCTCGCACTTCCACTCGACTAACGCACCGATTCGCGCGTATTCGATTTTTTCTTGCGTTTTCTTTTACTTTTCATACCATCTATTATTTACCCTCATGTAAAATACAATAGAGAGAAAGATTTCTGCGCGCGTAGGTGTCGAGCATATAACCCACATTTTTGGGACACGTGTGATTTACGACCTTGACTCGCGCACACCGCGTCGCGCGAACACAAAAGCTCTCAAGTTCATTTTTTTGTGTGCTTCTGCTTTATTATGTGCTCGTCTAGCTCCCAAGGGAAAGCGAGTTTAGAAAGTTGGAAGCGTTTTGTCGCCATAATGGAAAAATTAATAAATTACTTTGTTACCGGGTGGCTGAAAGGAGGGGAAGGGAATGAGAAAAGGAGGGGGCGGCGTTCTTGGGTGCTTTTATTGCTCGAAAATGGACTTGAGCCAATTTGCCGCGAGAAGCCACAGACATGCCCGCCACGTTGTACGTACCGAGTGTGGGTATAAATCGATTTGCCGTCGGTATCTTTTATTTCTAAGTACGATACGTACGAGTGCGTACGCACGCACAAGTCCATTGCTCTTTTTCTGTCTCTTTGTACTACGGAGCTTTCTTCGAGTATTCGCGTCTGCGAGAAAAAAATATGATTCTTTTTCTTCTGCGACAAATTTTCCGATGAGAAACGAGAAAATGTTGTACAGCATACGTGTTATTAAAGTCTATGCGTGTTTTCGTGTGCAATCAGCAACGAACACGAGGAACGACCTTCGAATTTTAGCGGAAAAGAAAATGACCCGCGAGTAGTTGGGTATAATTGCTTAATGATACCGAAGCTCTGCTTGTTGTCGCTACTTTAAAACATGTAAATAAAACAGTCCCTGAATCTTTCGTTCTTACACGGTCGAACATTAATTGTCGACATTAAAAAAAAAGAATAAAAATAATGGTGCATCTTGTCAATTAAAAATGTAAATACGCCACAACAAAAATAATAACAAAAAAGCTCTGCGGGTACACACTCGTATGAAACAAAAACATTGTAATGTGCAGACCGCACTCGAAGCTGCAGACGATCGAGTTCGCGCCTGCGCTCTACCGCGACGCGCCAATGCAGTCGTATCAACTGCTGCCGAGGCAGTTACGATGTTATGATTATCGTTCGTACCAATACCAATGCGCGCACGGGTCACTTCCCCTCCTGGATTCTACGTGCCCGTTATAGATAGGCATACGAGATGCGTGTGCAGAGCTGCAGCAGCAGCTGTGCTGCGTTACATCCCTTCTCCCGCAAGCTCGTGCGCTGCACACGTGCTGCAAGCTCGCTCGCCCCTCGACCCGACTCTTTTCGAGCTTTCGTTCGCGCGCGCCACGCACGATGTATAATAATGCACTTCATACAGTACTTTACCATTTTTATTTTTTCACATAGTTGCGCGTGAAAAGAGAAAGTAAAAAGAAGCAGCGTAGAAGAACACAAGGAGTGCATGCATGTTTGTAAAGTTTTTTTTTTTTTTTATTACCCAACGAATAATTTATAGCCCTTAGAGTCGCAATGAATATCCGCGACTCTGGTACCTCGTAGTGCACTTGTACTCTCGAGACGTACCTCTTGACGTGGACAAAAAAGACGCGACGCTATATATATCCATCCATTCACTACTTACGCAACGATCGCGAATACATTAAGCAAATCGAATCAAGGGTCGAACTAATCTTTTTTGTGCTCTTTAACACAGCGCCGCGTCAATTACCACTCCTCGGATATACGGCTTACAAGAGAGCGTCGTGATATGCGCAAATCTTTTGATCGAGTACAGAATGCATTGTATACATATGATGTAATTGACGCATGTATCTCTCTGACGCCCCCGGATAACCATCTCTCTCTCTCTCTCAACTTGTGCTGTGCTGCCCCGAGCCTTTACCCATCCAGAGTCGCGTCTTTATTGGTCTTCTTGCATCATACGTAAATAAATACGCACACACATGCGCGAGCAAAAGCTCGTATATGCGCGTTTTGTACGTACATTATAATACACACAGTTGAATACGTGTGCGTTGCCAAAAAAGATGAATGAGCGAGGAGGCAAAGGCTCGCCCCGTGGCCTCTCGAACAGAGAAAGAGAGATAGGTAGAGCTTGCAGCGCGCGCGCAGCGACCTATAAGTCATATACGTAGGATCTCTACATGCACAGTCGACAGCAGAAAAAGAGAGAGAGAGGGAGAGAGAGAGACACGCAAAAAAAACATAAACATACACACATATACGGTCGAGCTTGCGCGTGCAAGCTCGACAGTCAGCCAGCCAAGAGAGAGAAAGTTGTACATTTTCATTTTCGCAACTACTGCTGCTGCCTGATGCATAGCTGCGCGCGCAAGCTCTCTCTCTCTTTTCTTCCTTCAAACCGTGACATTGACGAAGTCTCGCACGAAAACTTCGCAAGCTTGCTCGCTGCTACTACTACTGGCTACATTATGTATACGTATATATTGTTTCGCACACAGAGACACACGCACACATACACACGAGTAGTACAGGCCTATATGTATAACAGTGTGCTTGCGCGCGCTCGCTCGCTCGCTCTCGCCACCAATACAAGCTCCTCAAGCTCTGTTATACGCTCTCCTCCTACCACCAGCCAATCGTTAGAATGAACGCGCGCGCTCGCCCGTCCGTGTATACGTAAGCTGCGAGTATGTACGTATATACACACACAATTGCAACGGTATCGGTGTGTATAACACAGGCAGCAGCAGCAGCAGCAGTAGGTTGCAATCGGGGAAATACAAATATATACATATACCTGTATCGTACAGTCGCGGCAGTAGTAGTAGGCGAATGGCAGAGAGGCGCGCGCGAGAGCCGAGTCTAGAGCGCGGAGTTTGGCTCGTGCCATCGCGTCAGACTGGTCTATCTTTTTCCCTTCTTCTGCCTTTGGTTTTTTGTGTTCGCTCTCTCTCCTATCCGCCGTCTCTCTCGCACGCGCGCGCGAGTCATCATCGTCATCTCGCTCACAGTGCCTATATATAAAAAAAAAAGTATATAAATATAAATACGGTGGACGTGTGTGCATGATACACGCGCGATAAAAAATACATATAGAGTTGAAACAAAATAAAAAAACAGAGAGAAAGAGACGGACACACAGTGAACGCACATGTTACGTAGTGCAGCATCTCTCCCAGCAGCTCCGCGTATTATATATTATCGTCGAATCCCTCCACGCCTGGGTGTATATAAAACAACGCGTCTTTTTCCGCTCTCGTGCTCCGAGTTCTTCGCTGCTACTGTGCCATCGCTCGACGCGCGTGTCTGTCTACATAAGCACCTGCATCAGTGCCTCTCCGCGTGTGTACATCCAAAAAAAAACAAAACAAAACAAAATACAATCAGTGCGTGGGTGATAGTTACTACGCGCGTGCGAATTGGACTTTTCATTGCACACGCTTGTAAAATTTTCCCCGGAGCGAGCGCGAGCACGCGCGTGCAACAGCCTCCTCTCCGTATAACACAATCGAGATTTGGGTTAGCCAATGAACGCAGCCGAATTGCGAGATCGTCGGACATGTGCTTGGTCGCTGCTGTGCAACGCCAGCAGCAGCACGAGCATGAGCAGCAGCAGCAGCAGTGAGAGGAGAGAACAGCTGTTTCTCACGCAGCAGCGTGCAGTTATATTGTGCTGTAGCGAGGATAGATTCGCGCACTGTACAGTGTACTACAGTGCAGAGAATTGAGAAGAGGAGAGAGAGAGAGAGAAGACAAGAACGGTGCTGTGCTGCTCCGCTGCGGCTCGTGCGCTGCTTATATTCGCGTTCTGCGTTGAGAGTAGAGAAAGAGAGAGAAAGAAAAACCTCAATCTGGGCACATTCACTTCTCTCCGTCTCTCGCCGTTCCCTGTTGCTGGGCGAGAGAGAATAAACGAGTCTCTCTTTCTCGGCTCGCACACGCACAGTATATCACGGAGCTTATAACGCTGTGCGTTTTCAGCGCGTGCGGTGCATGATCTCATGCGAATCGAGCCGAGGCACGCAGACACTCGCAGAGATCGACGTTCGTGACATTTTTTTTATTCGAGTACAAGATTGTTGTGCAGCGTGTCGGCTTGTGATTTCGTGAACCTCGAAACTCGATGAACTTGTGCGAGCAGCAGCAGCAGCAGCAGCAGCAGCGAAAAGAGAAAAAAAATGTGCGTGTAGAGCACAGTAGTGCTCGTTTTGCGTGCCGCGATTCACACAAGGTGCTAATATAAACGATGTGACGCGTGCTGTGTCAGCTCTTCGACTTCTGCATCATCGAGGCGTGTGTGTGTGTGCTTGTGAATATAAATATGTGTGCTGCGCGCGTGAGGCAAGCTGGTGTTGACCTTGAATAAATTATTACACCCGTTAAGTCTGCGATTGTTGTAATTATAACACGCAACATCGACAGCATCGGTAGAAGCGGTGAGAAAAATAGACATGACGAGGATCGATGCTCGCTCATCCGGCTGTGGTGGACGACGATCGAGTTGGAGCAGCATAAGAAATCGTCGCTGCGTTAGCTCATCCATGGCTCTGTTTGCGAAGAAGAAGAAGAACACGTGAGAGGTGCGCGCCCCAACACAGAACAGCGATCGTGAACAGCAGCAGCAGCAGCAGCAGTGCCCCAGAGATCGTTCGTAGCTACTGATCGTAATACGAGAGTCGATATATATAAAATATAAAGACGGAAAGAGAGAGAAGAATAAAAAGACTCTACACATTGTGTGATTATTGTGTATGTACACAGTGCGTATATAATAGCTTCGAGGCAGTTATGGAAGAAAAACTGCTCCGCTGCTCGATGCTGCCACTACTGCCACGATCATTGAGCAAGATCAGCGACAAAACGGAGCAGCAGCAGCAGCTGATTTCGCAGCAGCGACAGTCCACGTTGAAATTCACCAACAGATGAGTTTCGATCATCATCTCACCGTATCGAGCAGATGACGATGATAATAAAAACAACGAGAACGTAAAGAAGAAAAAAAATAACACAGTCATCAACGAACACGACGGGTTTACCTACTACCACCCTCTACGACTAGCTCGTATTTGTTTGTTTGTACATATACGTATTAATTATAAATATATATATGTAAGTGTGCACAAAGGGTCGCGCTCGTCAAGCAAGCCTTACACATATAAAATACATACATATGCATACATGTATATATGGGCCATGACCCCGGGAGCGACGAGCCTCGACGCCGAGGGCCTTGGAGCCTCCTGCGTCGATCTTCATCAACAACGACAGCAGCAGCAGCAGCAGCAGCAACAGCAGCAAGAACAACAAGAACCAGAGCTGCAGCAGCAGCAGCATCATTGTGTGCAAGTAGCGCCTCCGCCGCCGTCAGCGATGTCACCCCCGCCGCCCCCGCGGCCCCTGCTGCCTCATCAGACGGCGGCGGCTGCGGCAGCAGCTGTGGGCATACCCCCGCACTGTCAGTCGCTGCTGATCGGCGACGAGGCTGCTGCTGCTGCTGCTACCGCTGCTGTCCTTAGCAGCACCAACACAATGCCACCGAGCTCGCCGGGTGCCATTAACGCGCCTCGAAGTGCTGGAAGAGGTGGTGGCGGTGGCGGCAAGCATCATAAAAATTGCAAACAATCGACGCTACAGCGATGCTATCAACATCTCAAGGTCAGCGCCATTATGTGAACATATGTGCGTGCGTGTTACACACACGTACTTGGTATATCTCTTTACTACGAGACACGCATTTTAAAACCCCTGTACGCGACGTGGGAGGGCTCGTGTAGAGTAGGTGGGTGGAAGGGTGGAGGGGTGGGCAGGAAGAGAGGTAGGTAGGGGGGCCTCTGAAATTTTTTTGTACGCCACGCGTCCTTTTTCACGCGCGTCTCGTAGCATACATTACCGAGCTTAAGTAGGTCAATCTATAAACTCGTGCACTCTCGCTTTATAACAGTGTGTAGAAGGATATAGGTAGCAAGCTAGCTAGCTGCCTGACTGCCTGCCTGTGCTGGCCGCGGCGCGCGCGAGACCAATGACGCGAGGGAGAGGGGTTGTTGAGCTTTTTAGGTATTCTCTCGCGCGCACACACATGGATATATTTCTACTCTCGTGCGGCAAAGTGCATGTATACGCGTATAAACCACGCTCGGCGACGATACATACTCTATCACGACGATATCGCGTGTCTGCGTGCCATAGAGGCGGATAATGCAACGATCGCGACGCGACTTCCCCAAACAACAAACTCGGCCGAGACAGCCGCTATCCGTCGTTCAATATGTATAGTATTGTACTGTTGTGGCACGTACTCGTACGATTGCATTGCAGCACACGCTGAAAGAGAGAGAGAGAGAGAGAGACACACACAGACTGATACCTAATCGCATAGATTATATTATATACATAAACAGAGACTTTGGCGGATTTAAATTCTCAATGAAATCTCGACGTTGTATAACGTGTATCAGTGCCGTATATACGCGCGCTCCCGATTTCAGCATATTTCGACCGATTATTTACACTGCACTTTTCGGCTCAAGTTCAGCCAATTTTCGCTGAGCGAAGCGTTTTAAATAAATTCTCTCTTGCAGAGCTAGTCGTGTCGGGCTGTGCAGAGCCGAACACAGCGGGCATCGGTGTGTGTTAGTATAGCTTATAACGAGCCCGCTTTGGGCTATTGCATCAGTTATATACACCTAATGCTGGCTTGCAACGATGCTTCTCGTCGAGAGAGAGAGAGGAAAATTAACGATAATATGCACATCCCAATCGATCGTGAGGTCATCGCGCGAGTCGATCATGCTGCCGTTGCTGCTGCTGCTCCGGACGATATAGACGAGAGAGAACAACAACGTACATATAGTTTAGCGAGAGATTCCGCATTCGTGCGCGATTTTTTTCCTTTTTCTTTTTCTTTTTTTTTTTTTTTCATTACTTTTCCTCTTATTTTTTGTTCATTGAAGATTACGCGGCTGTTTATATAAACATGCGCATAGCGTGTATATCGCCTTTATATATTTTATATACATTAAACTCGCAGAGGAGTCTCGCTGAAAATAAAATACGTCTATAAAAAGATGACGCCAAAAGCATCATCGCGTATATAACGCGAAGGTACATAACGTACACGTGTGCGCACACATACACACACACACACACAGTCCGGAGCTTATAAAAGATCTGCGTACAGAGTAGCAGTAGTAGCAGCAGTCGCGAGAAAGAGAAAAGGAAGGAAAAAATCTGCCGAGAAGAGGACACGCGGTAGTGAAAATCTATAATTAAATATAAACTGCTCACCGGTGAAGTGTACTTGCACACGTGCGTACGCGTTCTCCTCTCGAACTGCTATGCTTTTAGATGATTCCTATTTTTTTTTCTCATTTCCTCCTATATCTATCTATTTTCAATTCAATTTTTGTACATCAGTCGATTCGAGACAGATCAAATGCGCGCACATCGTGTTTTATAATCATTATATGCATATTGCGCTTGTTACGATATGTAATCTCGCGTTCGGCAAATCGTAAAAATATAATGCATATAATACGTAATACATCGGCTCTGGTACACGGATACGTAATTTCAACGCGGATCACTCTGCGACGAGCTTTTTCTATATCTCCTACTTTTTTTTTATCGTCCAGTGATCCGAGTGCGAGTGTGTATTTTGGCAAAAGATACATTATTCATTTTCGATGTATAGACATATACGTTTAGATCTCGGAGAGAGTGAGTGCCAACAATTTTTTTTCAAAAAAGATTTATACATCGTACGAATCTTTTCCCTTCTTTTTTAATCAAAACTTTGCGGATAATAAATTACCTATGTATAAAGTAACGGCCGATATATACTTGCAGTCTTAGCCTTTGCGTGTGCTGTACGGAATCAAAAGAATTACGCGACTTTGGATATCCTCCGTACCAGCGACGATAGCATATTTTTTTTTTTACTTATTTTCTTCTTTTTTTTGCAACGTTTGCGATATTTTTTTTCCTTATTTTTTTTTTCGTCCCTATAAATACCAATCGATCGCCTCGTCGAGACATGATCGATCGAGCTCGGATTTATTCTCGAAATAAATTTGCGACGTATATTAATGTATACGCAGGGCTCGAGTAATAAGATTCGTAAATGCGTGCGTAGTGGGTACGCGCGCAAACGAAAGTCTGCAACAACTCGATCGTGTACGCGTATATGTGTACATATCGACGATGATGAGGATGACGATGATAAACGAATGCTCTGACCTATTAGTCTCGTTCGCTTTATATATGTACTCGACTCGTTGCAGCTCGGGCACATCGTGTACGTAGGAGAGGATGATGCGCCTCTCGAGTGCTCGCATAATGATGCGAGTACAGCGTATATACCAACGAACGCGACGATAAAGCCAATACGTTAACTTATTACAATGCAAATGTGCAACAATGTATCCCATATTATAACGCAGCACACACACACACAATGCTTTTTCGTCACTCGATTCTCATGTGTCATCGTTCGTATTTCGTTTCGCAGACGTCGGGCGTCGGCGAGGCCTCCATGTATCACGCGCTGGTCGTGATATTCCTCGAGTTCTTCGCCTGGGGCCTGCTCACCATGCCGGTGATCTCGGTGCTGAACGAGACCTTCCCGGATCACACGTTCCTCATGAACGGCCTCATCATGGGCATCAAGGGCATACTGTCGTTCCTGTCGGCGCCACTGATAGGCGCCCTGTCGGACGTCTGGGGCCGCAAGTTCTTCCTGCTCATCACCGTGGCCTTCACTTGCGCGCCCATACCGCTCATGAGCATCAACACCTGGTGGTTCTTCGCCATGATATCCATCAGCGGCGTGTTCGCCTGCACCTTCTCCGTCGTGTTCGCCTACGTGGCGGATATCACCGAGGAGAGCGAGAGATCCAAGGCTTACGGCAGGGTGAGTATCTTTTTCCTTTCTTTTTTTGTTTTTTTTTTTGTTTTTTTTTTTGATAGGAAAAATTCTTCTTGGAGAAACGATCGTGCGCGATGTGTTGTAGGGAAATTACAATCTTATCGGTACAACGACAGAATCTTTTTGACTCACATTGATTGGTTGATCCCGAATATCGTGTCGCGCATTTCTGTCTCAATAGGTCGTTTTCTCAGTCGTCGGCATCTGTTACAAATCGATCAGCTGACTTGCTGCAGGTAAAATAAACCGTCCACTCGTAAACTGCATGTGTTAAATTAGCTTGTTCAAAGTACTTGTAATTAGTTTACAATGGATTGAAAAAATAAACAAATAATATCTAGATAAAATTCTAGATGTTTTTATTGCAACCCGAAAAAGTACATTTAAAAACCATTTTATTAGAGTTTATTGACAGTACCATATTTAAAAAATTCGAATTTTCAATATTTTTTCATTTCACTAACTAAAGACTTCATCTGAAAACCTTTCCGATATTTCGAAGCCCGCGAATTTTCGCTTTATTAAGATATTTTTTGTTTATTTTTTCACTCCATTGTAAACTAATTACAAGTACTTTACACAAGCTAATTTAACAGATGCAGTTACAGTTAACAGGTGGACGGTTTATTTTGCCTCCGGGCAAATCAGCTGATCGATTTGTGACCAATATTGATAATTGGGAAAATGACCTATATAGTCCAGTGAAAACTTACATGAAATTGCATTTTGTTGGGGAGAGATGAAACTTGTTCACAAAACGAATGAAAATTGTTCACAATATTGCACTGACACTTGAAAAGTTTAAAGTGTATTTCGATGTAAAATTTCACGAGGAATCGATTGGTGCAATTAATTTTTCTGTATCTTGCTTCGTTCGCGAGATATCAGCAAAAAACTCTTTCACCCTCGATTTTCACCCTGACGCTGATGTTTTAGGTAAAAAATAACATCGGCAATGAATTCAGCGCATCCAAAAACATAAAGTAGACTAGGTTTCATCTCTCCCCAACAAAATGCAATTTCATGTAAGTTTTCACTGGACTATATAGGTAGCGCTCACTTGCCTGGGGCTTGTTGTGACTTGTGTGTGTGTTCGTTCAAGTTACTCGTATGCGTATCAATAAAGAACAAATTCTTATACCTATAGGTTAGCTCGCGCTCTTAATATATACATTCGCGCGCATTTTTACACTCATCACATTAGATCGCAGTCTTCTGCCGTGTATAGTCGGTATAGGTTACGTACGACGTCACAGCGCGATCGAAGATCGCAACGACCGCGAGTGATTTTCGCAAAAAAGAACGAATACAGCGAATAACGAGTGATTTTGAGTTGTGTTCGAGTGCGCACGAACGATAAAAATGTCTTCCGATGACCGAGACAGCATAGTTCAATTGCAGAGTATGCGTGAAAAGATCAATTGGGATATCGCAGATGACCGAGTCAAGTTTCTCCATCTATTCAACTACTTGATCAAACATTGGAAGGGCCAACTTCCGGATATCCGAGACTTTTGGCAAAAGGAAGAAATTGATGGGCTTCTTGTGAAGAAAATGCAAGAACAAGAACATGTTCTTCCATTTATTGAGTTTCTGATAAAAAGTGGCTACGTAGACGAGCCCAACGTAGATGAAAACGGCAAGCCACTGTTGCAGCGCACCACACCAGTGCATTGTGCGGCTAGCTCCAAGAATGGCAGTTATAACGAGATCCGTCAACTTTTTAAAATATACAACAGATTCGACGTGAATTACACGGACGAGCTCGGTTGCACCCATTTTCATGTGGCCTGCGCAACCAACTGCCACGGCGTCGTCAAGAAATTTCTCGAGCTCGGGCAGGATCCAAATTGCCTCGAGTACGTGACGGGTAATTCGCCGTTACACTTGGCCATTGAACAGCAAAACGTTCACGTGGTTAAAATACTGCTGAGAAACGGCGCGGATCCGAACTTGGCCAATGCGGATGGATCGACTCCTCTGCACATTATTTGCAACATGAAATTCAACGGTCATAATGAAAATACAGATATGATGAAAAAGTTATTCGAGCTCGGCAACGACTGCAGCCGGCCGTTGAAGGTCGATGCCGTGGACAAGTTGGGCCGGACACCGCTTCAATTGGCTGTGGCAAATTTTTTATCGAAAACCGTCGAGGTACTATTGGACCATGGCGCTGATCTGTCCAGATTCGTTTTTCCAACTGTAAGCCAATGCAACGAAGAACCGGAACTGTCAGAGGATTATGATGATCATTACTCTAGCATCATATCATACTCCAAATCGATTCTACCGGCTCGCGTTTTGATGGTCGTCGAACGTTTGGAGAAAAAAGGATACGAACTGAAGCGAAGCGACGCCCTGACCATTATGAAGTTATTCGCCGAGTGCGGATTTTTCAACAAGTCGGTGGATCTCGAAAGATTTTGGTACGACGAAGAGGAGCTCGCAGCACAAGATTTGACGATCGTTCATGATCTGTCGATTTACGATCTTATCCAGTTGCGACCCGAAGAAGCAGCTAAACTATTCACATACGAGGACTTGTTCTCTTTCTTGAATAACTATGATGATGCAATGATGAAAGGCATGCCCAGAAGGTCAACTCGGTTCTGCGTCGATCATCTGAACGAGATAATGGCGAGAAAATTTTTCCGGCGTTGGGCACTGGACTCTTTCCTGGAGCTGACGCGCTACCAATTGCCAGTCCTCTGCTGTGACTTGATCCTTGAGAAACTGAGGAACAAACAATTATGGCACATTTGCTTGGCGGCTATGGGTCAAAGATCGTAATTGCAGGATATGTCTATTTACACCTCTGTTGTTATTGAATATTGGAAATAGTTTTTATAATTCAAATAAATAAACAAATGAAAAAAATTCGTTTCGATTTTTTATTGATAATCACATTTGAATCATTTAGTTCAAGCATACGCACGTGCATATTTATTTGCAAGAAATCATAAAGGAGTTTAACGATTTTTTTTTTATATTTATTTCGAACGAATTAGCAACTTAGGTACTATAACTCCGCATTCATTTAGGCGATATATATATCGGCCTAATTACCGCGAGATTATGAATAATTACGCTGGATTCGACCGATGTAGCGCACATCTAGTGTATATACGCTCGCACGCCTTCCTCGCCGTATTTGTTCGTGCGCCAGTATTATATGTATTACGCGCGCTGTCGAACAAAAATTTTTTGTCCAATAATACTCGCACACACACACACACACACACACAGGTATAAGCTCGTAATTGTACAATATGAATATACCCAGAATCAATCCCGGTGTATACAACGTCGGTACTAGCGCCTGGGAATATATTACTTGATAGGGCCGCTCGCGAGCTAGCTTATGTCAAGGACGTAAAGTAGCGTACGTACGTAATGATCGATTTACACATAATAATAATAAAGCTCGCAACTCGACAAACGTTATGCCAAGCCACGATATGCCTAATGGCATGTAAAAACCTCGGCTTTCGAACGAAAAAAATATCTCGTTTAATATGCGCAATCGAATAACATATGAAAAATCGTCTTCTTTTTTTCCCCGTCTCACAGGTGTCGGCGACCTTCGCGGCGAGCATGGTGATAAGCCCGGCCATGGGCTCGTTCGCGATGACCCGCTACGGCGAGAACGTCGTGGTCGCGCTGGCCACGGCCATCGCCATCCTCGACGTCTTCTTCATCCTCGTGGCCGTGCCCGAGAGCCTGCCGGAGAAAGCTCGGCCGCCCGTTCCCATATCCTGGGAGCAAGCCGATCCCTTCGCGGCGCTGGGAAAGGTGAGTTTATTATTGTTATACGGGCAAGCTGTTTTATATAGTTGAATTTTCATTTTCATCTTTCTTTGCCGCAGGTTGGCAAGGATCACACGATACTGATGCTGTGCGTCACGGTGTTCCTGAGCTACCTGCCCGAGGCTGGCCAGTACAGCTGCATCTTCGTCTACCTGAAACTGGCGATGGGCTTCTCGGGCACGATGGTGGCTATATTCATAGCCGTGGTCGGCATACTCAGCGTCGTGGCGCAAATATTCCTCGGGCCGCTGATGCGCACCCTCGGCAGCAAGCACACCATCATGGTCGGCCTGCTGTTCGAGCTGCTCCAGCTCATGTGGTACGGCTTTGGCTCGCAAATCTGGTAAGTGTGTCCGCTTGGTTCACCGGCCAAAATAATTGAAACGAACGTACATGGAAAAACTTACTTTTCTTTCCCTTTGTCAGGATGATGTGGGCAGCCGGTCTGCTGGCCTCGATCTCGTCGATCACGTATCCGGCCATCTCGGCCTTCGTCTCGATGCAGTCGGACGCGGACAAGCAGGGCCTGGCCCAGGGCATGGTCACGGGCATGCGCGGCCTCTGCAACGGCCTCGGCCCGGCCATGTTCGGCGTCATCTTTTATCTGTTCCACGTCGACCTGAACGAGAAGGCGTCGGCGCTGCCGCTCAAGCCGCTGCTCGACGACAGCAACAACACCGGCACCGCGGTGCACCTCGACATAGCGCCACAGGTGATGGACAATCCTTTCGGGCCGGTTCGTTAAGCTGCTGATAATATAATTTTAATAAATTGTTTTTCCCCATACATCTCTCGAATTGTAGTTGCATGCTTTGTAGAAAAACACGCGCATAAAATATCGTGTCAATTTTCTAACGCGAAATTTTGCTCTGTGTCCCTGTCCGCAGATGGTACCAGGACCGCCCTTCGTGTTCGGCGCACTGCTGGTGATCTGCGCGCTGTTGGTCGCCGCCTTCATTCCCGAGGAGCAGGGCCCGATGATGACCGGCCAGCTGCATCACTCGTCCTCTTCCCGGAGGCCATCCGGTAAATACGCATATCAAAAATGTACGTTACAACTTACCACCATACAAACCGAAATGGATAATACTGCTGGTGGTGGTGGGTCGAGCCGATTAGTCCATACGTAATACACGCACTAGTACGTTATTCAAATGGTTCACGCCGATCTGTACATACTTTTATTATATAATACACACATTCATTTTCGCCTGTTGAAATTTTTTTGTAATTTTTTTTCATGGAATGTTGACTGTCATTTTTCGATCGGCAGTAGTTTGATCGTTCGATGCATGTACTAATCGCACCATCATACTTTTTCCCTCGCAAATAAAAAAAAATAAACAGACATTTGCAAAGGGAATGTCAACACACATCCATTGCCTCGAACTAACCAATTTTCATTATAATTAAATAGCATGAGTCTCTCGTGAATAACGATCCAATTCAAATTAGAAAGATTGCAAACATCCTTCGTCGAACGAAGCGCACAATGACTAATCACTCTTTTTCTCCGCTCTCTATCTTGCAGGTCTCTCGCTCGATATCAATTACGAAAACGATAGGCTAAGCAATAGCGGCAGAGTCAAAGTCGGCGCTCTGTCGCCGCTCGTGGAGAATGGCAATTCGGCGATTCTGTAGCCCATGGAACTGCATCTACTGTTGCGCAGATCGCATCACGATTTTTGTTGAGCCGACCGACAACTACTGAGAGGGGGTTGGCTCTTCACTAAGAAGAAAAAAAAATAAAACAATGAGTCGATAATCTTCGCGCATCGGTGCGTTTCGCGTACACGCCACAATTACATTAAGAGTCCACAGTAAATAGAATTTTTGGCTGTGCCTATATCTGTCTGTCTGTTTGCCTGCCTACAATAGCTATGTATCTATTTATCTATGAAAAAAAAAACTAACTGAATTTGCCTGTCTAACGTGGATGAAGTGTAGACGTATGCGTGTGTGTGCGTAATGTGTATTAGGTGGATACGACTAGAGCGTATCATTTGTGAATTAATTAGCTTTAATTTCAGTCCGCATGGTCGGTCACAACGCGCGAGCATTGTATTTCAAATTGAGATAACAATTTTCATGTACATACTTATGAGTTGATTATGAAAGCAAAATTTAATCTCAAATACTTGCAAATTTTATAAATTAAAGATCGAAAGTGCAAATGTTAAATTTATTATTCAATTTGAAGGTACTTAAATTAACTAGGTAAATGTCAATTTTTTGTCATTGTATGAAATCTTTTTTATAAAATTATAATATTCAGTCAAGGTTGCAGCAGTTTAATGAAACTTTGTACAATACGTTGAAACAAATATTAATTTACTTTTCGGTGTAATCACACAATCAAAACTTTTTTGGTGTGACAAGTTTGTAATGAGGTCATTTTATAGAATATTCTAAAAAATGATATCACACTGAGTTGTATAGCGTCGTATTTTCTCAAAATACTGCTCGTTACTGAGGGAACGAAAGAGATTGAAATAGGTGAACAATACATTTTTTTTCTGAATTATTAAATGAACTTGCCACGAGCACAAAGGTATTGATAGCCTCTTTATTCGATATAGATGAAAAAATATCCACTCGTCTTTCGATCGTTTTTCGATGAATTTGAATGCGTGTTTATAAGAACTTAGTTTACATTACTGTATATAATTTATGCAAGCAATCTTGTTTATTCACTTTTTTTAAAATACAATTAACGAATTCACACACATATACACGTGCAGCTTTGCAGTAGTACTTCAGAATAAATAAAACTAAAACACTGACCAGTGTATTTTAAACTATGTAAAAATACGAAATCAACATCAGTGTGTTATTAAATATACGATAAACTATGAATTTTAACTATGTATAAACAGAGAATGATTATAATTTTCTACATCAAGACAAAAAACAAAATATTGTGATGATTGTGTGTGAGTGTTAATAAAAACAATGGAGAAAAGAAGAAGCGAGAAAAAGGGAACGATCATGAAACTTTACCCTCATCTCTTCGTCGAGAAGATTCTACCGTAAAAGAAGTGAAAAAGAAGAGAGAAAAAACAGTATAGTGCCTTGTTTTATCGAGTTTTAACCCTGTATTTCCTACATCGTTTCAGAACGAGTGAAACTACGCGTAATACATCCGTTAGTCCAACCTGCTGTTGCTCTGTGCCGACTCGAAAAAAAAACGTAAAACTGCATTGTGTAAATGATTTAGCCACGTAAACTATTATATAAATAATTACATTTTAAATACTTAGTCATTGTCAAAGTGAACTATAAACGTGCGAGATGAAGCATTTAAGAAACAAAATGAAAAGGACCTGAAAGAAAAGTGCTAGAAAAAAAATTGAATTATCGATAACTGAGAATTCTGATAATCATCTATGCTGATGATTAGAAATTTATTCTGTATAGCTATGCATATATCTTATTGATATATAATATAGACACAAAAGTTTGAGAGTACTATCAATATTAAATTATTTGACTGTTTCATCTGAATACTTTATAATCTCTGTTTAACAATTATTTGTTCCAATGATTGTTTGGAATTCGAATGAAAGCTGTGGTGCATAGTTCAATAACGATTATTAAATTAAGATAGAATATTGCAGTGTGTTCTCATATGTGTATTATAGATTTGTACATATTAAATACTTTTATTTTAATTTAAGTATTTTTTTTCCTCGTCGTTACTCTTTCTGCAGTTTATTAAAACTGATCCAGACTTGTACGTCAGTATTTAATTTTTTTCAATTCGTGAAAGATAATTATTTTCCCGCAAATCATTTGTACTGTAAAAGCAATGAAAAATTTTTATTTTTTTTGGAGATTAATTTAGGTATTTATGTTTCTTTACAAGAATGACGGCGCACAAGTGACATGGAAGTGTAACAGTTTCTGTGTAAATTATTTAAACATTCTTGTACACCATTAAACATTATTTTTTTCGTTAATTCCGAGTCTCTTATTTCAAAAATTAAATAGCGACCATCGAAATGTGAGAGTGATTTCAATTTGAAACAAGTGATTGATTCCTGCGCTTTTATTTTCATTTCATTCTAATTTTTTGCATTCTGTTTAAATAAAAATATAAATGTACATACAAATCAAATCTTATTTGCTGATATTTTGTTATAAAATAAAGAAAACAAAAAGCAGAAATAAATTTAAATTAACGTAATATGCACTGTAGAAATATATAATTAAATATCTTTCTCGAAAAAGTACGATCTTCAAAATTGAAAAAAAGTAACAAAACCTGAAGTTATATGAAACAAGTGGCAAGCTAATGACATATGTTATGAGAGAGATCTCGAGTGAAAACCAAAGATCGTATTATTTTTAAATTTTGTACATTTCTTCGCCAATAAAAATATTATATAGTGCAATGTACTATATACATACAATAATAACAGTAGCATAATCATAGAAATAGTATTTTACGAAAAAGAAACTTAATAATAGGAACACATGTCCCGTACGTTGATTACACATGGGCAAATTGTGATTTTTTTAGTATCTTATAATATCATTCAATTCAATTATTTTGAATTCCTTAAAAATTTTCCTACCACTTTGGTTCTGTTATGTACAGCATAATTTAAAGTAAAACGATTTAAACAATGCTAATTAATGACCGCAAAAGCCGATGTGAATGATATAATATCGGCTGATCAGAGATAAAAATACAAACTTCTATTGTCGTGTAACTAGACTTTATCCTTTTACAGGAAACATGAATAAAGTAGAAAAAAATAGTGTTTAACGTAATCAATGAGTACATTTGTATTTGTACGTTCAATATCATAAGAAAAGTAAAAAGAGAAGTAAAAATAAAAATTGACGAAAAACAGTTGTATAATAGTGATAACAGGCTCATTGAGTGCTTGAGACATAATATAAATAAAAACGCACGAGATATTTAGGTAAAATTGTGAAATTGATTAAACGATATCGTATTCTCTGCGTCTTGAAAATAAACAGAGAGACTGAACTCGCCATTCAGTTGTATAATATTATAAAATAGAAAAATAGAAAATTTACATTAGTGTAAGAAATGATGAATGCGTTAAATAAAAAAGTGATTATTTTTAAAATGATAATTTTTTATTTCACCTCACAAGTATATTGTTCAATTTTTTTTTCATAAAAAATTATTCTTATCATTTATACATATATTTCATGGTTTGAGTCATTTTTATGTACAATAAGTCTCATAAGAATAAGACAATTAAAAAACATCTATTATCATAACGATCACAGCAAATCAGAATTTGTTCTTACTTTTCAGAACAATTTCATGAATGCGGCAAAGTATTCTGATTCTGTAGCATGACAGAGCCACTCTGTTGCCAACATTCAATAGCTTTATTTACAATAACTTCTGAAGTTTCTTCAGTTATCTGAAAAAAATTAACGGATGAAATTCATAACTAAAGTTTTTGTATCATTTTTTAAATTATGTACTATTGTACTAACATGGTTGATAACTTCTACAACTTGATCAGTATTTTGACATTGACTGATTATACATCGTTTTAGAGTAGTAAGCATTGCAATAGCCACAAAAATCAATATTCTACAAGCTCCTACTGTAATTTTATCCCATATTCTGCAATTGAAATTCAAAATTTTAAAAGTGCAAAAATATATTCATAAAAGTAAAAAATAACCATTTAACTAACTTTGTTATTGAACCATCACTTATAATACCAGCAAAACAAGACATAAACCAAACATCAAATGGCAATGTTTGAAGGGCACTTGTGTTTTTGAGATGATTATAAAGTTCTTTATCTTCTCTTTCTAACATTGTGTAAGTACATTCTTGAAGCCTCCCTATTTCATTACTAAACTTTTGTACTTGTTCAATAAAACCAGAAAGAATCCAATAAACATTGACCAGTCTTTCATCTTCTTCAAGATCTTCACTAATGTTCCATAAACTCACAGCCATTTTATTCATAGACCTTGAATACATTAAAGATACAAAATAAACAATGAATTCATAATTGACATTTATTGAAATTGAAAATTTAAAAATACCTAAGCATCGGAGTCTCAAGCTGGGATCTTATGTCAATTTTGGATCTTCTATTTTTTAGAAGCCACATCAAAAGAAAAATTTCTGACGGCTTCGTCGTTTCATCGACGGTACTGACGACCTTCAAAGCTCTTTGCAAGTCATTGAATTCAATAGTTCTTTGGGTCATGACGAATTTGTGGCTCTCTTCGAGCGGAGGTATAACATCGAGCAAAATTTTCCATAAAAAATTTCGATAAATCGCTGGGACGGTGAATCTCAAACAGAATTGTTTCAACTTCGCCTTATCGAATGGTCGATCTCGAAGGAGCATTTCCAATGATTTTTTCTCCTCGACACTCCGAAATCCCACCTGTAAATGTATAATCATAAAAATCAACTTGTATTCACAAATTTGACAGGTACTCGCATGAAAAAATTAACCTAAAATACGAGGCTCTTTTAATTCGGAGCGAACCTAAGAGCTTCAACCATGCCTTGCAAGAAATTAATTGGATATTACCTTTTCATAATAGGAAGAACGAAAATTCCTTTGATCATCCATCGTCTTAGCGATGAATAAAGATTGTGCATCTACTGTTGTAAACTGCGTTCGCATTCGACGGACTCCATAGTCCATTCGTAGTCTGCTGCAGTCTACCTTTGCAGACTGTTTACAATGATCAGCTGGTGTTCATTAGGTGTCTATATATCGTTAAAGGTTCACTTCATTCCAATCCTTGAAACGAGCATAAAACGAATTATTTGATTGATTGACGAGACTAGAAAATCACATTCTCCGCGCCTAGTTAGGTCGAAGTCCGCAGAAATCGTGGAGTAGACTGATGACATTAAAACGATCGCACGGAGTGGTGGGCTGGCTGGAGCAGTAGGATCGACGCGACGTGATTTCCTCGCTATGTGCGCAGTGAAGTCATATTAAACACAGTGACACGGTGAAACGTAAACAAACCGTGTCCGAGCTCCGATCGAACGGCATGGTCATTTAATTCGTTCTGGAATCAAATATTTCGTTCGTTCTAATTTATTTATTTCACAAAAGAACTTGATTCGCGACCGCACAAACTTCGGTTAACAAGATGTTTTTTTCGAGGAGTAAAAACTCCAATTTGCACAACAAAGTTGTGGTAATAACAGGTGCTAGTTCTGGTCTAGGCGAGGCTCTAGCTCACGCCTTCTACAAATGTGGCTGCAAACTCATACTCGTCTCCAGGCGATTGACGGAACTGCAGCGAGTGAAGCAAGCTCTGCTTGACAAACACGACAACACAATCACGACTTTTGTACCGGCAATTTTCACCTTGGACTTGACAGAGATCAATTCGTTGCCTGCTGAAGCTGCCAAGATCGTGCAAATCTATGGTAGAATTGACATTCTGATCAACAATGCTGGTGTGTCCTACAGAGGAGAAGTGGTGGATACTCAAATTGATGTTGATATCAAAGTGATGCTCATAAATTATTTTGCCCAAGTGGCTTTTACCAAAGCTTTTTTGCCCACGATGCTGCAGCAACAATCCGGAGAAATTGTGTGTATCAGTAGTGTTCAGGGCAAAATGGGTATACCGATGAGATCAGCTTACGCAGCATCTAAGCATGCTTTGCAAGCTTGGTGTGATTCTACAAGAGCTGAATTGCACTCAAAAAACATAAATGTATGTGTAATATGTCCAGGATATATTCAGACTTCCTTGTCGTTGAATGCATTAACTGGAAATGGAGAAACATATGGATTGATGGATGCAACGACTGCTGCCGGTTATTCACCCGAATATGTAGCAGAAAAAGTAGTGAAAGCAGTGCAGAGGGGAGAAAAAGAGATTGTTATAGCACCAATAATGCATAGAATTGCCATTCTATTAAGGACTCTTTTTCCTTCAGTATTCTTTTGGTTAATGAAAAAAAGAGCTGAAAGTCAAAAAAAACTATTATAAATTACAATTATTGTGAAACAAATTTTATTGTCAAATGTTGATATTTTAAAATCCTTTTGATTTTTTTGTGATGACATGTTCATTTTTTACCTGAATTTAATGTATGTTTTTTAGTTGGAATTCAAATGGTGTACAAATAGATTTTTTTATATTTTATGGGTCAAGTGGTGTTACATATTATTGTTTCATGTGTGTAATGAATGTTTAAAATTGTATCTATTTTGTAGATAAAAAAAATTTGTTGAACGTATGAAAAATTAAGTGTACTTATACTTGGAAAAATCTGAAAATGAAAACTGTCCGATTTTAAATAAATAATCTAAAACAGGTGTCACTAGTGTATTTTTATTTTCTGCAAGTTGCAAGTTGCAACTCGCGTTCCACTGTCGTCTGCACTAGCCTAACGTCAAATACTAAAAGCAAACGACGAAAATTGAATCAACACTCGATGGGTTGAACTAAGTCTAAACATATTCTGTTGTTTAAAATCTTTTTGCATTGCAAATTTTAGAAAAAATAAACTAAAAACTGTTTATATTAAACAATGAAACCAAAAAGCTAATCCAATATAAATCAGGCAGCCTCATACACTATTTTTATAGCAGGTATATTTACTGATAAAATATAATAATCATATAGTGTAATAAATTTTATTTAGCTTGTTAATCTCAACAGATGTTGACTTTATTGCTTATCTATTTACGGATGACAAAATTGAGAGCGTGAGGTTAACTTTACATAGAAAAATACAGTTTACTACTCAATTCACAAATAATGGAGCGTGAAGAAGAGTTCTTAAATTCTTTTTTTACTCAAGTTACACAGTTATGTTTTGATAAAGCAAAGGAGTCAGTGGTATGACATTTTAATTTTTTAATTTTTGTCAAAATTATATTGATTAGTGGATTGATTTTCTAATTTTTGGAATGTTATTGCTCAGGAAAGGGAAAGAGAATCCTGTCGATCTACACAAATGGGACCATGGGGGATGTTACTTACACATTTACCACAAATAGCTGTAGCTGAAAAATCATATATTGACTTGGGATTTCTTCACACTAAAAACAAAGGATTTCTTCGTAAAGATGTAAGTATACATTTAAATGTCCATAGTGAATATTTAATCTAATGAATGATGTTTGAAATAATTATTTTACAGAATTCATTAAAAACTGTTTATGAGTCATTAAAAAGTGATTTGAAAAGAGTAGAAGAAATGACTTATGGTACAAATACAGTAGGTGGCACAGTAGCAGAAATATCAAGCCAAATATGTCAATTTATTACTGCACGAGTTCAATTAATTGACTTGTAATGCTTACTGAAATTTTACACACACAAAGTATAGTTTACTAATTTTATTAATTAACTATCTTTTTATTACAGTTACGAGAAAACATATAATATGAGTATGAACAGTAAAGTAATGCGTCATCAAGAATTGTTAGTAGTGATTGAAAGTATCATTGAAGGACATTCATTGTCGTGTTCTCACATATCATTAAATACAATTAAAACTTCCCTCATGTAAGAATCTTTCACGTATTTAAGTATAAATTTAAGCCAAGTTAATTTATAATTATTGCATGTACTTATAGATTAGAGTGTGAAATTTTAATGCAACTCATAAAGGCTTATATAGAAATTCAAACATGGAGATTTTTACCATCGTTAATGGCCCTTTACGGTGCTCAAGCACGTATGTCAGCTTGGGAAAGAACATTACAAAATAAAGAAGTATGTGAATTATCAATTTGATACTCAGTTAATTTTGATTTTATATTTATTATTTTTTCTACATAAGACTTGGAAACTTGGTTTTGGAGCCACTTTTCTTAAAGCTAATCAACAACCAGCACTTTTCCAATGGCTAGTTAAATTGAGAAATGCTGTTTTGGCAAAATTTTCTTTTTACTTTCATACTACTTTAAGTCAACAAGCCAGTTCAGGAGAGATGAAAAGTATTATGAGCAAACAAAATGTAGATTATTATCATAAGTATGAATTTATTTGAACTAATTTAGATAATTAATTTATTTATTTTTAGATTAAAGTAACACTTATTTTTCCCAGATTACAAACTTTTCAAAGGAAACATGACATATCAGCTATAGTACTAGTTTTTGAATCCAGAAATATGTACGATTCTGGACCTGGCTATAGACATCCAAAAAGAGAAATGGATAAGACAGAAGATTTTACCATAATAGTATCTGTTCCTCATGTAAGATATTATAAAATGTTTAAAAAATTGATAGAAGCATTTTTTCATAAAATATATCATTTTAGACCTATAGTCATAGACCACTAATGAATTGGTATGGTATCAAAAAGCATATAAAGGAGAGATATGCAGAATTAATAATGATGGAAAAAATCATATTTTGCAAAGAAACAAACGTAAATATTTTACTATTTGTCACAAAAAGTTTTAAGCTTAATTTATAATAGCATGAAATAATTTTTTATAGGAAATGTGGGTGTATGCTATGCATAATATCGATCCACGAGTAACCATTGTTGTTTGCTATGAAACGTGCAATAAACAAAAAGATAAAGATGCACATGTTTCAACATTTATTTCAGATATTAGTTTACAGATGAGATGCAGTAAAGTTTTTGAAAGTTTAAAACTTGTTAAATGATTATTAATTTTTATAAAGAGATTTTATGATATTTTGTTAAAAAGTGACAAATTTAATAAATACTTAATAAATTTTTTAAAATAATACTCTAGTACTAAAAAGTTGAACGCAAATTTACACATTTTCCACCTTATCTCAAAAGAAATTATCCAATACCATATGTTCAAATTACCGCCTTATTGTAGAAATCTCTCATTAGTAGTCTAAATCAACATGGCGGAATAATAACAGTTTTGCACGAGCCTCAAAATCGCCTGGGTATAAAAAACCGTGTCTGTAAGCAGGTCATTTAATTATTTTGAGTCTCTGCGGGAAAGCGTTGATTCATGTCACGCAATTTTAGTTATTTAATTTTTTCCTTTTTGGTTTGGAATAAAAAGTCAGGCTCAAAAATTAACAAATTTCACGAATAAAATAACGTACGGTTGTTTTTATTTGAGATAATTATCAACAAAACTTTCATCTTTGCGTTTGAAGATAAAACAAGAAATACGTTTTTTTCCAAAAAAAAACGTTTATAGATTCCGAAATAAAGTCATCATGTCTTGTCGTGCATGTCGAAAGCCGTTTAGCCACTCCAAAAGAGAAGTGAGTTATCATTTTTCGGAAAATAGCAGTTACCTCAATTTGCGATACTAATAATTAAAAATTTACAGAATGGTTGCCCAGGATGTGATCACACCTATTGTAAAGACTGTCTTAAATATGAACATTATTTACCTGATACATCAGATGTAAAAGAAGTTTGTAAATATTGCCACAAAAGAATAATCGATTCTAAGCCATTTATACCACCAGCTGATTTTATTGTTCCCGATGGAATTAATATACCATTAGATCCTGAAGGAATGACTGCGCAGTATGTATTTTATTTCTTTTTTTAATTTTTTGCTTCCCATGTATTAAAGACTAATTTTATTACTTCAGATTGGATAAATTAGAAAAATCAAATCCAGTACCCAAAAGTTTATACAAAGAATGGTATAGATTAGATAATGTTAATCTTAGTCCAGGGGAAAGACAAATTGCAAAAAGATTCCATAATATGGAAATACAGAAACAAGAAGATCAGTTAATATTGTTAGACGAGAGGCGGCCTGAAGATGAAGCTCCTACAAAACAAATGGTAATAGATTACAAATAATATGTCATTTTATAGAAATTTTGACAATTATAATTTAATTTATTTTTCTATGTAGGTCAGTGAGGCATTTGCTGCATTGAGCAAGCAAAATTTTCATAACAACCCAAAAAATGTGGATAATAGCCACCAAGTTTGTAAAAAGGCATCAGAAGGCAAAAAGCAGCAAAACCATCAAAAATAAAGTATAATTATTATGCACAAAATTTTGATAGTGTATGATTGCATAAGATTGAAACATTTTTTGAAAGATGAATCCATGTCTCAAAACAATATGAGCCTATAAATAGTATAGAGCACCACTGGAAACTATTTTGTGAATCTGTGATCAATGAAAAAATCAATTCTGATTGTATAAGATTTTTGTGTGCATAAACAAGTAGAGTATTTTCAGCTTAGGAATAACAAAATATTATATTTTTGGGTAAATGAGAAGTTTAGAATTACAAATAGTCTATTATTTGAAATGTTAGTTTTTGTGTATTGTATGTATGCCAAATATACAACCATAGAAATATATCTTGTAGTAACATTATGATAAGAATGAAATTATGTGATAGAAAATCAAAATGTAGAATTCTTACGAGTGAATAAGTGTTTAATATTCTTTAACAATAGGAATATTTGCTATGGAAATTTTGACTAAGAATGATTATGAATCTATATTATGTACATTTTGTAATGAACAAAAAAATAAGCGTACAGTTTGGATAATATTTATAGCTAATATGTACTTATAGGTAAAAAGTAGTACAAATTTCATCCCTGTAACATTAAAGATACTTAAAATATTTGTAAAACTGTGATTACATTAATACAGATTTATTGAGAGTTTTAACTATTTTGTACACATCTTAATAAAATTACAATTTCACATTCAAAAAAAGTAAACGTTCTTTACATTCTTAAAATATCAAAAAATTTTGTTTTCCAAATTTAGCATTTCATGAATAGAGTTGCAACACTCTCGCGCGTGGTTTTCCCCTAAATTCCACAGCGTAAGCCATTGTACACTATACGTGTAAACACACTCCATCTTCATCTCATAATCATAACATCAATCTGTCAGTGTCAGCCGAACCGCGGCTCGTTACGTTTGAAAGAGAATTGAAAATCGGTTCGATTTCGAGTGTCTGCCAGACATTGTAAAATAGGCAGAAGAAGCATTCGATTCGAATCAGTGGTGACGATTTTATTATTCTGCTTTGTTGTTTATTTGCAACATTGAAACTAACCTTGATGTTATATACATAACAGTAATTGCGTCATCTATAAATTTTGACGATTACTCACTATTCGTTACCTTATAATATGCCTACCTCACGTACTTGAATATTAAAAAAAATTGTTGGAATAAAAATAAAAAATGACTTGCAACACGTGCCAGAAATATTTTGGTTTGTTAACCAGAGAAGTGAGTACTCACACTTTTAGCAAATGGATTTAAATTTTCAATTTTACATTGCTGTTTTTACCACCTAGCTCGCTTGTCCGAAGTGTGGTTATTCCTACTGCAAATCATGTCTCAAGTATAAATGGAAAGTTCCTAATACAGGTCAACAGAAGAAAATTTGTGGACCTTGTTTTAATAAATCAAGTCGAAGCAATTCTCATTTTACCAATGACTTGACTCCTGGGGAATTAACAAAAAAGTAGATGCCTCTTATTTTTGTTGTAAATTCATAAATTTATTTTCATCTTCTTTCTTTTAGATTGGAATATTTAGAAAATCCAGCAAAACCACCTATTGTCCTGTACAAAGGACCAAGTAAATTAGATGAATTGGGTAAGAATTTGGACCCCGCTGACAAAATAATCCTTGACAGGTTAAAAAATCTCAAAGGTATGCGCAATGAAGTAGGACCAGTTCCCACTGAAGATGAAATCAGACAAAGACTTGCTCAATTAAGAGACCAACATTTTGATTCTACAAATCAATCAAAAAATGTAAAAACTTGTATTCATATGATAACTATGATAATTCTCATCTTTCTAATATCCATTTTCATAATAGGTATATCAAGCAGACACTAGGTCTGATCAACAAAAAGCGGATGATTTAATAACTGAATACCTTGGTGCTTTAGCACTCAACAAAAATACAGAAGAAGCGGCATCAAATATTGATCAAGTTATTCAAAGTAGGCTAGACAGGTTGAGAGGTGTAGATTCATCTAAAGTGAGTCTTTGCTTTGAAAAAGATTATTTTAACACAAGTTTCATGTTCATTGCACAAATAAAATTATTTTTGCAATTATTTAGTACTCAAATACAAATGTAATGGATTACAAAGAACAAAGTGAAGACGATGAAACCAGAAAAATAATTGAAGAAGCATTAGCTAGAGCAAGGCTCATGCCAACAACTGATAAAGATAGTGATCTGGACGAAGACTTAAATGTAAGACATGAATTTTACCCAAAAACTCTCAATAAATAAAATGATTTCATTCAATTTTTTTGCAGAAAACTAGTAGTGAAGATGATGAAAGTGAATGTATGTATTGTAATACCTGCGAAGATTGTAAAGATTTAGTTTGGTGTCACATGTGTGAAAAGAAGGTACAATGCAGAGATTGCTTTGAGGATAATCATGATGAGGAGCAAATAGAAACACACAAGGTGGTTCCTTACTTTCTCCGTCCCAGAGTAAGCTCATCAAAAAAATAAAAGATGTAAAAATTGTGAAAGTTTGATTTAAATTGTAGAGCAATTGAATATAAACACAAGGCTTTAATTGTCAATAAAATATCAATATTTAGGCAACTAATTTAATTTATGACTGCTATCTTGCTGACTTATTCTTACTTTAGAATCATACAAGTATTTTGAAAGAAAATGTGATAGCTTATGTTGTATTAAAAATTTATATTACTTATTATTTCCATATCAACTATATTTTATTTGTTACTGTAAAAATATTGAATTTTACTGTAAAAATATGAAACTTTGTGAATGCTATGCCTTATTTTACAAACATATTTTATAAGAGTTTTAACAATTAAAAAGAAATTGAAATTTTCTAATTGGGTCTCATTTTATTTTAAACAACTTAATTCATTCTTGCATTAAAAGTTGATTTTTCAAAAATGCACTATTTATAAGCTCATTGAAGATGAATCAATTGGAAGATCAATTGGAATTATATCAAGATGAAGGAAGTGGGTTAATGCAAAAGGCAAAATTTTTACATTCAAGTACGAGTATTTATTTTTCTTTTCTTTTGATTTTTTTTTTTTTTTTTTTTTTTTTTTTTTTCAATTGAATATTATCCTCTTCATCAAGTACAATTACGACCTAATCGTTTACATATTAAAAAATTTATTTTTATTCGAACACAATAATCTAAATTGAAGTAAATAACATTTAGCAAGTAATGAAAAACATTCATCTTCATGTTAAGATATGCTAAGAAGTTTTCGTTGCCACGTTTGAGCTGAAGACGCGCATTAGTTACAGAGCTGAATTTAAAATTGACTTAAAAACAATTCAAAACTCAAACTTTGAAAAAGTGGCTCTGAAAGACTGGGTATGCGCCAAAACGCAAGATATTTAAAGTCATTATGCATGTCATTCAGCCTTAGATTGTTCAATGGTCATATATAATTCATCAACTAAGACATTAAATTATAAATTTTATAGCATATGCAACGCTAAAACTTATGTCGTGCTTAGAAAAAAAATTGACGAAAAGGAGAAAAAAGTACAAATTGATTGAATTTTTATACCAATGTATTTTTCATATTTCTATTTTCTAGTAGACTAAAATCGAGGAAGGGTATATATAAAAATATCTTGCCTCCCTCGAATCATAACATGCACACATTTACGCACGTAAAATACGCACTATCATCAGAACATACACATTTCATAAATATATTTTATATAAATATTTGAAATACATTATATGTATAAAAAAGAAAATATTGAGACAATCTCGATTAAGAGTTATTATAGACTCGCTTCCCTACAATCGTATATAGTCTATCTACACACAAGAAGCATCTTCAACAGGAGGAAGATAGATGCTTTTTTCGCACTTGCGTTCTCACAGTCATATTGTATCCTATATTACGTTCGAAAGATCCAACTTTTTTTTCTATTTAAGTACTCTTTTAGATAACAAAAAAACGTAATCCTTTCTTTTAAACGATAAAAATGTCCTCTTTTTCAGTCAATATTGGATAATAATTGATTTTTTTTATTTCTCTTTTGTGATTTAATAACAATAATAATAGTAATTTTAATTTTAATAATGGTATCTAATAAATTTAAAGCACGCTTTGTTATATCATAAAATTAGGTAGCTTAAATATTCTGTCCAGGCGCGGGCAGAGGTATCGCAGTTACAGACACGGGTTCCGGTTCTTTCTTCGTATCTTTCGTTTTTTTAGCCTTTTTTGGCGACTTTTCTGGTTTCTCTGGCACTGGTGGTGCTTCCTTTTTAGTCTTCACTTGCTTTGTTTCTTTTGCTAGGGTAGTAGCAGTAGCTTCAGTTTTTGTTTCAGTTTTTGGCTCCTCTTTTGAGTGCTTACTAACTTTGGTGGTCTTCTTTTTTTTCGGTGATTCAATGACAAGTTCTTTGACTGGCGACGATTGTCTGTCTTCCATTTTTGCTGGAGCATTTGTTGTTTCTTCCACAGCCTTATTTTTATCACTACTGTCGACCGATTCAGCAACCGTTTCAGCGACTGGTTCAACAACTGGTTTATTTGTGTCTTCGACTGGTTCATTAATGGTCAAAAAGAATTGCGACACTTTAGTTGTTGGTTCTCCAGATGACTCTTCCGGTGCACCGCCAGTTTTTTCTTCTAACACTTTGTCTTCGGCTTCAATTAGCGTCTGTTCTGCAGTTTCTTTGGATTCTTCGACCTTTTCAGTAGGAGCTTCAACCGACGTTGCTTTGACTGGTGATTCTGGTGCCGGCATTGGTATGGCCGGGGCTTTGGGCTCCTCCGGTACTGGAACATCCGGCAACGGTATTGCCGCCGCTTTAGGCTCTTCGGTGGCTGCTGCCGTTGCTGTTGGCGCAACATCGGTTTGTACCTGTAATATTTACCGTGTAAAGTGTGCGTGAACTACTGCTGAAAATAATTTTAGATGATCATGAATAAGTAGCTCTTTGAGAAATCGACAATTAACAATTACGGAAACGTAGTACTGTGATGTGTCGTGCGATAAAATAAAACGTGAGTACATTTAAAATAATTAAAGATTTACTAGCAGTATTTTCAAAATAAAATAAGAATAAAAATAAAAAAATTGCCTATAAAGAATGGTTTTTTACAGATGCATAACCAAAGTAAATTTTATCTCTAAAAATGGAAAATGTAACGTGCAGTTAAATTTTTAATATACATTGAAAAAACATTGAATAAAATTGTTCAAAAAACATACTCTGCATTTAATTGTTGCAATAATAGCTATTAGGTGGATGTAACCTTGAATAAATAAATAAGGTTACATAGCTTTCAACTTTAATTAGTGTATTATATCAGAGTATTATCGGTTATTTGAGAAAAATTGATCAGTAAATAGTAAATATGGATTTAGCAAGTTAATATTGAAATCATATAATTATTCGAATTAGTAAATTAAAAACGTTTTCAAAAATAAACACCACTCTATACAATAAGCTTACACTCATTAGTTTTCCACTCCAATTGATTCTAATAGTTTGTCTACAAAAAGTATATGTATTATTAAAAATTAAACCCAGAAAAATAGTATATTTCATATTGAGTACGTAATAATCAAGTTAGTTTCTTTAAAAGAAGAAACGTTATTTTTGTTCGGTATTCTTTAGAAGCTTTTAAGAATTTTATTGTTAATGCATAAATTCGAAAATTGGTCAACTTCAAAGTCATAGTAAATTCATTGAAATTAATTCAATCACATGATTTACTTTATATTCTAGTTTCGACAAGCCTTACACATTCCATTGCCGTGAATACACTTCCAATTAAGAATGCACAAAATATCCAACATCTGTGCATTTTTCTACATTTCCAAGTGCTACACTCTTATTGAAAGTTTGGATACAAGAAAACGATGCAATATTTCTCAAACAACCGATGATCTCAATCAGAAAACTGAAAAGTTCTTGATTTCAACCTACCTCATTGGTCTCCATTTTTTCCTCACTATTTTCGTCGGTTGCCATAGACTCATTTTCTGGGGCAACTTCGTTATTCTCCGGCTGACCCGGCAGAGGTGCTTTGGATTCCAGAAGAGCGATGGACTCTTGTATACTTTTAATAGCTTGTTTGCGGGCTTGTCGGACATTGTCCTTGCCCTCAGTTTCGATGTCGTCGAGCTTAATAAGCTCTCGCGTCAACATCTCGTCGAGATACATGTACTGCTTGTCCTGTCGCGAGTTACCCGAATACTGTTTCACTTGCTCGGTCAGTTCATCCACCTCTTTTTGGACTAGTGCAACTTTTTCTAAAATACAAAGTTAAGTAGTTATTATCTTGATCGTCGATCGTCTATATAGTAAAGTACTCGATTGTTAATCATTTCAAGACACTCACCTAGTGGATCTTTCGGCTGAACCTGTTGCCTGGGTTTAGGCGGTTCAGCTTGTGGCACTTCCGTTTGTTGGTGTGGTTTTTGCTGATGTGGCTGTTGGGGATGATGGGGCTGCTGCTGATGTGCTTGCTGGTGTCGCTGCGTCGGTATCGTTTGCTCGGTGTGCCTCTTCTGTTGATGATGTGGCTTCTCCTGAGCTCCGAACCGACTGTATAACGGACTGGACGTCGGCGGCGAGCCCCAGCTGCTGGCCGGCTGATCGAAGAACGGATCTTGGAAGTGCCAGGCGGACGAGGGCTTGTAGTGCTGCTGATAATGCGACGGCCTCTGGAAGTGAACGGGCGACTCCCGATGTTGCTCGCGAGTCTGTGGTCTGACGAAGTCCGGCTCGTCGACGTCCTTCGGCAGCACGGGTCTGTCGCGACCCTCGACGAAGATCGGTATGTGCCTGACGTTTCCGCCTCCGGTCTGCTGTGGCTGTGGCGACTGTGGCTTCTGTTGCTGGGACGAGGGTGGCGACTTCTCGCGCTGTCCGTTCTGTTGGGGCTGGTCGTTCATCTTCTGCGATGCGTTGGCCGTGACGAACGGGCTGCCGTTGCTCTGTGGGACGTTCTGACGATTGTCCGGTGGCGCCGACATGGCACGCACGTTACGCGCTGGATTTTCCATCGTCGATGGCTGTGTCTGTTGCTTCTGTTCTGTCTCGCTGCCGTTGTGCGAGCTCACGCCACTTGCACCGCTCGCCGCGCTGCTTCCGCTTGCTTGTGATCGCGCGTCCTGTCAACGAACGAGTTGGGGGCGGTTTAGTCGATCGAACGAAAAGAGAGGCGACGAGTAAGATATGTTTAATTCACAAGGCGACACCTACCTCGTCCGATTGATTATTGGCTCGTTCCTGTGAGCCTCGTCTGACCGATCCGTTGCGATTGCGATGCAGCGAGTTTGTATTGAAGGGTATGTCCGCCCACGGTGGGCCCAACAGCTGATCGGCGAATTCCGGATGCCGAGCGGCTAGATCGTCGAGGTGGGTGCGTATGTTGTTGCCGCGGCGATGATGGCCAAAACCTTCGTCGTCGAATGGAAAGCCCTGCAAAAACAAAAGTACAAAGAAAACGGTGAGATTCTCTTGTCGATTTCATTCAACGATCTTTTTTTTTATCTTCGTAAATTAGCGATGACGAATGGCGTAATTGTGGGTCGAATGTAGAGCGGAAAAGGATAAATCTTCGTTACGAAAAATACGAGACAGATGTGTAAAAATAAATATGGATTCATAACAACAACAACAAAAAAAACCTCTTTCGCGTTCGCTTAATTATTTGAAAAGATAACCGGTTTCTTCTTCGTGCGAGCTTATAATCTCGTGGGTGGAGGTATTGGCCGCGAGCGAGAAACAAAAATTAAAAAATAAAAGAACGATCCTCTCTAGATATAATTGTTTTCGGGGGTTCAGCTCGCACAAATCATCGCACAGAACGGAAGTGGAAAATTCAAAATTAGTCGACAAATGGACTCGTTGTGTTTTTCAATTCCAACCGCAGCAGCAGCAGCAGCTTTTGAATATTAAAATCGCTGAACACGATATAACACATCGGAGATCGTATTAACGATTCGTTTGATCGCGTGCTCGCGCGCGGACGGAACTTATAAATATGCAAATACACGAGAGCGCGATTTTATAAAAACGTAAATAAGTGTGTCAGTGTTACCGTGTGCGCCGTCGCCGCCGATCGTTTTTATTATATATTTTGAGATTTTCACTTTGGTATCCTTGAAGAGACCATCGCGTCGTCGTGTACGTATAGTATATAGTAAGTATGTTTTAATAATTCGCACGTATACATAACGCCGCGCGATCGACGGATCGGAAACAGCTGCACGCGTTTATATGGATTAATTACTCACGCGTGCATGATTTATTGTAAATCTTCGCGTAGTTTCGCACTACCGAGGGGAGGGAGAAAAAAAGGAAGAACAAAGAGAAGAATCGTGGAAAAATGCTATTATGCTATACATCTCGAATGGCAGAAAAACGCCATCGTCATCGAGATATCCCAGCAGAGTCGCAGAGTCGCAATCGATTTAACATTGCCTTTTACGTGGATTTCGAAAGGTCGCCCGGAACGACGCCGATCGTTCGCTCCGTCTCTCGTCATATACGCGGCGCTCGAACGTGGGAGTAGGTGTACATATTTCTCTCTTTCTCTTATATGATTGTAAAATGTTGATTTTTTTCGCTTACAATACTTATAAACGCACGGAAACTTTTTCTATGATTGATAATTCCGTATTATTTATAATTGTTATCTTTGTTTCCTATAGTTACAAACAAAAGGCTCGAACACACAACGAGACACTATATACATGTTTACAAAGAGCTGTACGTGCGACCAGACGATAATTTGTTATTGTACATGTAGTAATAGTAGCGGTAATGAATATACAAAAAAAAATCAATAGGCTCAGCTATTGAAGCTATACTACCACTGGTATACTAGCTATTATATACGACGCACATTATGAGATTTAACGATTGCGAAAATGTATAACAATACAAGCTCGGGCATGTATGTATTACGCAATGTACAAATTGACATAGGCTACAACACGTGCTCGGCCCGTATACATAGGAGAGGAGCAACGGACACTTAAAATTTGAAGTATGCTCGAATAGTATGCTACGAATAGTCATCAGTTATTATAATTCAATTTTTTTTTCTTCATAATTAAACGATGCTACACGTGCCGCGTTTAATTATCGTTCTCGTATGGACACGCGCGTGCAACGAATAGATTTTGCTTTTCGTGCACTGCTACACGATTCATCATTGTTATTATCGTTTGGTTCGCCAAGACAGAGTGAGAGCAAAAAAAAAGTTACAAACACGATTTCTGGATAACTGGGTGAGTGTCAGGGTTTACCGCAGACGCTCATTTGAATAATTGTGCGTGATTCGTGCTCCGCATGTAACTGCTCAAGGGTGCCCCACCGACGACAATGGCACATACGGCACGAGCCTTAACCCTGTTTCTTGTTGTTTTTTTTTATCCAACTACATCGAAAAGTCGTGGAAATCGGACCGATTTCTCGAGAATCGTGTCGCAGATTATTTTTAACGTACTGTCAAAAAAAGAAGCAAACGAAATTAAGACGGGCGATAAAAAGTGAAGTAGCCAGCCTTCGATCGCGCCTGCATGTCCGCGTGCCAAATTGCATTCATACAAATATATAACATGCCCTTTTCAAGAAAACGCACTGCGGTGTCGGAGGCGACGCGGTGCAATCGTGTGTTGTTATTGGTGCGAGTTAACGTTGCAGCGATAAGAAAAGACGACCAGTGCACGCATACAGAGCCAGTAGTATAGCCCAGTCATACGGGTCAAGGACGAGCAGCAGCATGATACACAATCCCAGCAGCAGCAGCAGCCGGTGGTGCTAAATCTCTCGATATACATACATAATTGAGCACTGGGCAAGGCCGCGAAGGTTACATTGTTTTCATTAATTTTTAACTCTTCGCGATTTTATTAGCACGTGCTACTGCTGGGATTGTGTGTGCATTGTCTGTCTGTGTGTATACAGGCCGCGCTCCGTGGCGTTGTTCAAAGGCACGACGTGCGATATTTTCGTTCGGAATACTTACACACGCGCAGAAAAAAAAAGAGACGAAGACGACTTATGTACGTAGGAGAGCGAATTCGATTCAGAGTCGTGTGTTTTCAAAAAAGAAAAACAGAAAGAGAACACCGCCGACGCATAATAGAGAGAGAGATGTGGCGGTCGCTTATTTATAGAAGTGACTCTTCCGCGATGAACGACGAATTTTTCTCTTACGTAGGTATACGACATAGCGCGACATTTATTCCACAAAGCTCGATTCCAAAAGTTCGCCAGCGGAGAGCAAGTGTCTTCCATAAAGTATATAAAGTGAAATCTCTGCCGAGATACCGAATTTTATTTATAAAACTCGAGCAATAATTCGACCTTTTCTTTTCTTTAAAGGCATTTAAAAAGACGAGAGAACGAGAAGCGCCTACTATATTTAAGCTCGCAAAAGTTGTTTAGTCGTTGCTCGCGCGCGCGCGCGTGTGTGTATTTTTTTTGCTTCCTCTTCGTCTTTGGTTCAAGAAACTTGTAATGTTATGCTCGCTCACTTCGGTGGTTTATGCGAGCGCGTGTGGATTTACCTGTTCCGTCTCTCTCTCTCTCTGTCTCTCTCATTCTCATATACGCCAACGCTGCGAGTTTGTATGTATCTCGCGCACATAAACACGTGATTTTCGAGCGATATTGCTATATGGATTAGAAACAAAAATCTTTTTCGTCAACTCGAGCGAAATCGTGCTTGCACTCTGGTTAATGGGCGAAAAGAAAACCCGCGAATGTTACAAACAAACAAAAAAAAGGCTCTTTTATTGCTAAATGCACTTTTGATATTGCAAGAAGAGAGCGAAGCGTGTGTGTGCGTATGTGCTTGGTCGAAGAGCGCTTGCTCATTCGTTATATTATTAGCCAGCGAGCAATAGCGGCGACGCGTGGGCGAGTGAAAACATCGAAATTTGGCGATCTCTCTCTCTCCTTCTCGTATAACGCCATTTTACAACGCGTTAAAAGCATTTTTTCCGCTCTCGAAATTTACTACAAAACGTAATAATGCTATGTTTTCCGCGCGAGCTTTCCTGCGTATATCGAGCATACATACCAAAATATCGTCTCGTGCAAGTTGAATAAATTAAAATCCTGCGATATCTGAACTGCGGATCACTGCGTTTTTCGATTTGTCATCGCACGACACACAGAACTATATATCGATCGGAAATCGGCACACATATATCTCGAAAGACCAAGAAGCAACCAAAAGAAAAAACAAAGTTTATACTGCCGAAACGACGCGAGAGTTGTGGAGCGCGTTGAAAGCTGTATCGCGACTGTACGCTGCCAAGAGCTTTAAAAGCGACTAATAAATATCGAGTCTCTCTCTCTCTCTGCTCGCGCTCGCGCCTCGATACCGCACCGAAAACGCGCAAAGATCGTCGTTATTGCACGTACGGCGCTCGGTACACTACATATGTATAACGCACGACGACGACGACGACTTGTAACACCGAGAGTCCGAGAGAGAGAGAAAAACACGTCATTGTGGCTATTTCTAAACTGACGCGTAACCAATTTACACACATACAAACGATCGTCGCGCGTACATATAATATGTCGTTACATTAGCGCGTTTGTGTGTTACTGTGCCGTGCACGTACCGTATATCGTTCGCGGATTTATTTCCTTTTTGTTGCTTTTATTGTTTCACCGCGACGACGCGATGCAGGCACGAACGAGCGTGCAGCGAGTATTATAACAGCGACGAGCGATGTAAAAAAAAAAAAAAACAGAATCGAAGTTCAGGTAGCATAGCGGGGCTCTCTGTTAAAAAAGAGGTCTATGCGCGCTCGTAAAAGCGAATCGCTTTCAAGGTTGAAGTACGAATAATATTTAACCGAGTTTTTTTAAAACCCCTGCCTCATTAACGAGCAACAACAACGACGACGACGACGACGACCACGACGACGAAGAGGAGAAAAACAAACGCTGCAAGGTTTACTCGTATAACAAAACAACGAGAAAAGAGTCGAAAATGCAGAGAGGCAGAGAGTGTGATTCAAATTATGTGCGAAGCTTAGAGCTGTGCTGCTGCTGATTATGATGATGCTGGTCGTCGATCGCAAGGTCGCGCCTTAAGGCGAAACGAAGAAGTAGAAGGAAAAAGAAATACAAAAAAGAAGAAAAGGTATATAAATATAATGCGTTTCGTGGGCACACACTCTTGGTTTTGCCAAATAAGGGTAAGATCCGATTGTGAATAATCATGAGATTCGAGTGGATAATGCAAGTATATTACTCTACCGAGAGCTCGACGCATCGGTGGTGCGTGTGTCCTTCGAGCAGCGCCGCCGCCGCGTCAACAGCGGAAAAGCCAGTCTCGCCGTTTTGAAACGCGAAGGAAAAAAGAAAAAAAACAACAAAGAGACGAGAGGAACGCACACGTTGGATAACGCGTTATATAGCATTGCCCGATATATATATAGTCAAGTTTGTTTGAGGACAGAGAGACGTGCTGCTGCGCGTCGACTATGCTGACTGCACTTTTTTTCGCTGCTGCTGCAGCTGCTTTATACCGCGGTAGCAATACAAGAGCTTTCGAGAGTGTAACACTATATACACATGTGCGATATCGTACATATCGATTTCTCTGAACTTTGGGTTAAATTTGGGTAATGAGATTTCTTAAACTTGCTTTGGTTTACTTCCATTTTTTTTTTTTTTAGGAGGACGAGAAAAAAAACTTACAGGAAATTCATTATCCAAGTCGAGTCCCCGGCCAAATCTTGTGGCACCGTCAAGGATGAGTGGCGAATCCATCGTGTTTCTTCCTTGTATATTAATTTTTGCCCTTCGAAAAATTGCATACAAGAATAATTATCGATTACTTTCGCGGCTCTCTCAATTTTTTTATCTTTTTTTATTCTCTTTTTAACCTACATAACACCTACTATATAAATTATACGATATACGATTGCCTTTCGTGTTGCGTCCCTTCATGAATCGATCGCAGAATAAAAGGTTTTCGATGTAATTATACTGATAATTGTTAGTTCACGCGTACACCTCGATTAAATTTATTAATTTTAAAAATCGCAAATCAATAATCCATTTTCGATAATGCTAATGGTTTATGTTTATACAAATTTCGGGCTCGACGCTGTAATAACGTATGAGCCACATTGGATTTTATCGATTATTAGAAGTCTGAAAGTTAAAAGTGGCACGAAAAAGACATTACATGTATTTAGCTAAAAAATATATGAAAATGTTACTGAAATGATAATCGTAATTATGACGCAATATTCTATGATTTAGCGTTTAAATAAAAAAAAAGAAAAAGCAAAAACGCGTTTTTTGCGTATTCTGGACAATTGCATGATAATTACTACGAAAACCTGATTTCTACGTTGCGTGAAATAATTATAATATTATAATGCGTCTATTCGTGTGCTCGTTTTGATGATGAGAACGATAATTGAAAATGTCAAGTGCAAATCTGTACCCATCGTTAATTTCGGAGTCTGGTTATAATCAGAATTTAAGAATTTTCCTCGTTGGAAGCTTCATCTCGGCCCGTACAAGTGGTACGCGTTCTTGATGTACGAGATTTAACGCACGATACATAACACTATATATAAGCGATAAAGTCCAAAAATAAAAACAAAGCCGAATTCGTGTATATTACAAGCTATAATACGCGTTGATATTCGCATCGATGTGTGTGTGTGTGTGCTCTCGATTTTCTCTTTAAGCATCGACAAGAGAGCTCGAGAAAAACATTCTCGAATACGCGCGACGTTCTCGTTTTCGGCATTCGCGAAGCGTCTCGAAGGAAGCTAACCTATAAGGCGCGCGCCAGACTCGTCGTCTCGCAGACAGGCCAGACTCCGCCGCGTATAGAGATGAGGATAGATTTGCACAATTCCATCTTATTTTTTGCGAAAGTCAATTGAGAAAAAGGAAAGGAAAAAAATAAGAGAAACACAAGCGTGATATTGACGCAGGCGGTTATTCGTGGATACTGATATTTCTGGTGCGGTGTGTCGTTGATGTAATAACGGACGTAATTATGTATGTATGAATGATGAGAGAACGATTCGGGTAGCAGCACTAGTAGGCAAAAAAAGACACTAAACTATTAAAGAAAATCAAGAAAAAAAAAATCGTACGATAGAAAAAAACTTAAAGGCAAGTGTTGTCTATTTACCAATTAGACTTTTTAAGTAAAAATTATCACTCCTCGTTCTTCACTTCAAATAATCACTCGAATTCGTTGGTAGATTATAAAGTTCACTCACAAATTGTCTTAAACACAGAAGAACTTTCGTCGGTCAATGTAATAATTTCACACAATCGATTTGGAAATGTAGTAATATGAATGTTAGCGTTATAACGCCGTACAAGAATACGTTGCGAAATGTTCGCAGTGTTGATTCAAACTCTGTCGTTTGTATACTGGCTCGCGGTGCGATCGAACGCCAGCTTAAATAACGCAGGTTGTGCTGTGCGAGTGGCGCTGCCGCCGCCGCCGCTACTATGCATTACATATATACACGAGAATGTACAGGCCGAGCCGAGCACCCACGCGTACGCTCGAGAACGTGCTGGAAGCTTCAGGTAGAGGCTCGATTCAAGAGACGCCTAGAAAGAGACAAGATTCTAATTTCTCCGATTTCTCGTAGGATGTATTCGGGCTACGAGGCAGAAAATTTTGGCTGCGGGAAGCTCGACGTGTATCGATTCGAGGGATAATAGTTTGTCATTTCGCATGCACGAAAAGCGTTACTTTGCGCGATTTTTACAACGTTGTACGGCTTTGCAACTTATAAGGTGTGATGATCGACATTAGTCATACGTACGGCGTATAATACGCGTTTGAATCATCGCGTTAAATTTGCATCTCGAATTACATTATCGCGCGTGTGTGTGCTGGCGAGCGAGCGAGACCTTATTATAAATAAAAATATGATCGAATTTTCTATATATCCAATTTGTACAGACCTCCGATCGGGCAATAAAGAAAAGTAAAAAAAATAGTCGATACTGTCACATTGTGGGGGAAAAGAACTCTGTCGCTCGATTTTGAGCCCTCGCGCGTGCGCGCATACTCGAGTTACTTATATCGTTGTTTCGAATTCAACGAAAATGTGCAAATGATTGTTTATATATTTACGCGAATTTTATACGTACAGTAGAACGTTAGTACCAGACGGCAAACGCCAGACGGCGCCAACGATCAATGCTGCCGCGATTTGTCGTCTGCTGGCGTTTGACGTTTCTTCGCGCACGACGCTTGACAGCAGCACGGCGCGCGCGCGTTTGTTGTGACGCGCATTTTTACATACATACACGAAAAAATCGAAGAACGTCGCGATCGCGCAATTGAAATGATTTACGCAACGTCGCGGAGGAAGCGAACGATTACACGCAGGAACGCGGTGCAGATAAAGGAAAAAAAAAGTTTTCTCACCTTTGGCGCGGCCCGCGATAATAATATGTAAACAAAGCAAGCGCGCGCACGTGATTTTTACGAGCTCGCGACGCGCCAATTACATGGTCCCGCACCTTTTTTCGTATAGATAGAGGTGCATACGCACGAGGCACAATCGGTTGACGACGTTTTTTATTTCAGCTATCTTCCACGAACTTCTGCGTTTGCATGTGGTCGTTCTTACCCGATGTAGCAGCCAGAATTAGGCTGTCAATAGTAAATCTCGCGAGTCCTAAATTTCCAATGTAATCAGGTCATATACGAATTTTTTTTTGTTTCTCGCGGTCGATAAACATCTTCGTATTATAAATTCCAATTGGCTCAAAATCTTATTAAATTTAAATACTTTGATCTAATTCCGCGCTCCAAGTTGCCACGTAGCGATTAAGTACTCGCAGTTTACTTATTCTACGTCAAACACGCGCTCATCGATCGAGTTATAAGCGTATATAAGTACGCGCCGCGCTGTTCTTACTTTGACATAAGTATATATGCAAGTGCTTATTAAATTTCGATGTATATAAAGAAACCATTTCATCTTCGTTTACGATGACACGAGCAGCGAAAAATTCTGCGGCGCGACGAGTACGCTTAAAAAAACAAACATATATGTGTGTACGTCACGACAAAGAGAGACAAATAATACACATCTCGACAATGCTCGTTGTTATTTTTGGTAACTTCGAATATCATTATAAATACGGTATACCGTACAAACTTTTAATAAGTATTAAGAGGGAAATTATGTTTCGGCTCGTATTTCGTTGCGGGCGCTGCTCTCTGGAGTAATAAACTCGCACGATAATAATATATGGTCAAGCCCAAAGAAAAATTCAGTTTCGTTTATAAAAAATAGTAACAGTTTTTTTGTTTATTGAGGTACTGTTTTTGAAAATTCCAGATTGGATTGCAGAACCTGTAATGATTGAATTGCGTTAGATACATGTATCGCACGATTTGATTCATTGAATCTTACCAGAAAGTAATTTTTGTTTCCTATGGGCAATCATCGCAGATTGGCTTATCACCATTAATTTGGGATCACAATTTTAGGAGATGGATTCGGAACGAATAATTGTACTTTAGTGGATAATTATTCGAGAAACTCCTAAAATTTGGAGCTATCTAATTTTTTATTCAAGTCACTCACGCTTTCTTTATTACTTTCGATTATTTGTATTCCTCTGTAAACTCGTCAACCTTGAAAATCTTTTTTTACATTCAGTGATCTGTACCCATCTTGTAATGCATGTAAGTATAAGTTTTCACATATTTTTGCTTTACTTTATATACCGTATATACAAAAACAGCAGCAGCGAAAAAAAAACGCAATACAACAGAGAGAAGAATCACGTCATAGCTAGTTGTATTAGAGACCTTCGGGTTTTTTGCATAGGATCTATGTACAGGAAAAAAGGCGCGGCTGACTGGCTGGTTGCGGTTAATTCGAATGAAGTGTCATTAAGGCGTGCTCTTACGTTATACATCCAGGCGAAGATCGCGCAGCGCAGCCAACGTCAAACGTGTGTCTATGAACGATACGATTAAAACGGTATTAATGACGCATTATACGCGTGTATATACTGCGATGGACGGTACATACATCGCTAGTAGTGCGGCAAAGCTTCCGCGTATTAACGACCCCGACATTGAAGCGCGCGGCAACATTTTAAACTTTATTTTTCTTCTTTCGTTTTTTTTTGTTGGTAAATTATGGTCGCGACCGCGCGCAACTGCGGCCTTGAACTCGCCCGAGCTTTAACATTAAGTAAACACTTATTGCCGATCGACGCTCGAGTAATAAACCTCAAAGTCCACTCGGCGCGATTGGCGATTATAGTTTTTCCAGCGAGTAATCGTGCAGCATAAATATTTCTTACGTAATTTTCGCATTACGTCGCTCGCGCGAGCCGCGGCGTATCGGTGGCGTTGAACTAATTCAGAAAATATGGCCTATCTAAATGAGCGCACTGGCGCCGCTCTAGAATGCTCCTATCGCGCGCACTCGTCGCGTAAATATGTACGTGCGAGTCGAGCCTCACGTGCACGACGAAGCGCAGACGGCAATTATTTATTCGATTTTTCTACATAATACATAATATGGATCATACATCTTTCGTTATAGTTAAAAATTTTGTGCTTTAATGTACGCTCGAATAAACCAAAAAAAAAAAACATTATGCGCGCGTCGTCCGAAGCTGCGTTTGCTACAGCGCGCCTCACCGATTCTAATCTCCAAATATCGCTCGTGTTCCGGCCTACGCGTTGCCAACTCGTCCAATTGCGCGTATTGTTACACGCTTTTTATACGAGACTACCGTACAGAGTCCCATATCTCGTACATTACGCGCGCGCACACACGTATCCCGGAAAAATCTCAAACTTCGTATTCGTTTTCTTCGTGCCCTTGAAATTGCGAGAGAAAAAAAAATTTCTCTTTTCCTTTTTATCGACGCGTACACAATATACAATCTGAAAATCGTCTGGCCGTTTTTTTCGATTATATAGTAGACGGGCAAGAATATATATAGGCTCGATCGTCGATTAGCAACGGCAGCTCCTGTCTGGCATATGTGTGTGTGTGTGTGTGTGCAGTGCAATCGATGTGCCCGTGTGCCATGCGCGCATTGACAAACGGCCGGAAAAATATATACGTCTGCGACGCGGCGTAAATCGAGCGCACCGCACGACGACGACGACGACGACGACGACGAGCAGCGGAGCAGCACAATATCTTCCACGCGAGGATTCGCACGTGATAAAGGTGGAGGCAATACTTATGTATGGTGTATGTATGGCGGTTTCCAAGTAACGAGCTTGGCAGCGAGCCATCCTGGCTCGAGTCTACTCGCGAAGAATTTCGAGACCGCGATAGTAAGAAGCTCTCGATTTTTTTTTCAATTCCGTCGCGAAACGGTGCACGCAACGATCGAGGTACAAGCTCGCCGCGAAAACGTATCTAAAATATCAAACTTTACAACGATTTTGCCCCTTTGGAGGAACTCATTCGGAGTTGGAAAACAAAGCGGAAGCTAATTTTATTCGCGCAAAGCGAGAGAGAGAAATGACGTGATCGCGTTTAAAAGAATCCGAGATCGCGTTCGAAGGTTGCGCATCGTTTTTTTTCTTCTTCTTGCGACCTATAAGGCGAGCGCGTTTATGGATATATCGAGTCGTTGTCGCCACGAGTTTACGCGCAAACTACACAATTAATAGGTGGATATCGGAAGCGGAGTGTCCTCTCTCGGATTCAAATCGATCTTATACATATAGCTTCTCCGGCAACGAGAAGCGCAGGCAGATCGATTTCCGAGACGAGATAAATGAATTCCCGATCTCCTCGCAGTGTGTCGTTTCAATGTATTGACCTTTGAGGCAAAGATTTATACGATTTTTTTTCTTATTCTCTTCAACTGCGCGTGGCATTGACCTTGTGTTTTTAATTAAAAACCAAAAAAAAATCAATAATGAATAAGCCGAAGACGAAAAGCTCCGTTGCATATACGCTCGATCGTGGATTCGACTGCAGTTTGCCGTTCTTGGTGCTTATAACATACGCGCACACACGAGCGCATACGTGTGCAGCGCAAATCCAACCGATTTTGCTCGCGTAGCGTATGTGCGATCGCGAGCGAATCGAGCGATACATGAAAATAATGACGTTTGTTTTGTAAAGCGATACGATCGAGTATCACACACCTAAACGCGAGTGAAACAATCGTCCAACTATATACAATAGGAATAAGAGACACGTCGATCGACACGCGGAGATCGATCATCGTTTCGAAGCAATGAGTAGAATGCGACGAAAAAAGTACGAGCGCAGCTGCAGCGCGGTATCGTTGCGTTCGTTGACGATCAATGATCTAGACCGATCGATCGATTGATCAGGAGCGCAGTCGACGCGAGCAAGTATAGCGGGCAGTCGGCAGCAGCAGCAGCCACCTCATTTTCATATATACATGTATACTATTGTGCAC